AATTTACTGTAATAGCTGCGAAACTCTTTTCGCAAGTCTCTGGCTTTTTAGGTAATACCATCCTCTTTCTAATCTCAAATTTGGGGCATAACAATGCCGTTCTGATATGGGTGTGTGCTAATGTTTACTAAAATGTCGAACATTCCGTTCTGATTATGGGTGTGTACTAGTGTTTACTATGATGTCGAACATACCGTTCTGATTATGGGTGTGTGCTAATGTTTACTAAAATGTTGAACATGCCGTTCTGATTATGGGTGTGTGCTAATGTTTACTGAAATATCGAACATGCCGTTCTGATTATGGGTGTGTGCTAATGTTTACTAAAATGTCGAACATGCCGTTCTGATTATGGGTGTGTGCTAATGTTTACTAAAATGTCGAACATGCCGTTCTGATTATGGGTGTGTGCTAATGTTTACTAAAATGCTGAACATGCCGTTCTGATTATGGTTCTCGTTATTATGTTTTCGCTCTTCTATTAGTTTGTTAATTGTAGTAAGGTGATAAATGTGGAAGTTTTCTTCTATGTTCATCATATTCCCTTTTTAAGCATGTTCCACCATTTCCATAATTGTAGTCATAGGTCCATATTGCTGTTGTTTATTCAGTATATTCTGGGCGAATGCCGACTCATCTCTGTTAAAACGTATGTTCTATATATCTATATTCTCTGCTTTGGTATGTTAATTGATAAATTCCAATTCTACTCATAAGCGTTCGTTTTTTCCTTCTAGTTTAGTATTTTGCTTATGGTGGAAGCTGTTTTATATGTTATTTTATGTTAGTGCTTTTGAAGAATTTTTAACTTTCCGTATGTAATTTCCTGTGTAAGTGAAGGATACCCATTTTTGTAGTTCTTTGGTTCTGTTTTCAGATTTATTCTTTCGTTGTTTGAATTTGTTGTACAAATGAAAAATATCCATTATTTCGTGCTACATTAATGATAGTATTTAACCCCTTGTTTTTGTTGTTTTCTTTAAGGGGTAAGGTGAGGAATCCGTGAATTCAATTTTTATATGCTGCTATTTTTTTCTTGTGATGGTAAGGTAAAGTTGTCCCTGTGCTTAACGAATTAAGCATTACACCAGGAAAATGTATGGGGGAGTGGATATATAAATACACATTTTCTTGAGGTAAGAGGTCAGCTTCACGCCCCTGCCGCTTTAACCCCCGGAACAGAGCCCTCGGTACCCATTGGATAGGAGGTTGGGTGGACCCCAGAGCCGGTCTGGACGATTTGGAGAAAATTCTTGACCCTACCAGGACTCGAACTCCGACTTCTCAGTCGTCTAGCCCGTAGCCAGTCGCTATAGTGTCTACGCTACCCCTACTCATAGGATGGCATGAATTATTATTTATTGTCATATCTGTTGCTGTAGATTTTCTATAATTTCCTGTTTCTAAATGTCCTTTTTTATTAGTTAGGTTTAAGTCTAGGTAAGCCATTTGGTTGTTTATTACCTTATTCTTGTGAATTGTAAGCCTTTATACTGCGCATTAAATTGTTCTGATAGGCTCTGGGGGGCATTTTTGTCTTATTCTATATTATGATGACATCATTATATAATCAGACACTTCATATACTTAATGTAGTTGAAAGGTGTAACTTTTATATATTGACATTGTAATAGTGACTTCTTAAAGGTTGAGTTTGTCCTCCTGAAGATGGTCAACCGGATTGAAACACGTTAAGGAAAATTAAATATTGAAATACAGCTTTTATAAATCAGTCTCACTGGACGGTGCTACGAGTCATTTTTTCTATTGCTAGTGTGACGGACCAAGATCAACCAAGTCAAGTTCATTGCTAATCATACTGTTCGACCTTATGTAGTCTGAACTACTAGTAACATCGCTAAATAAGCCTTAAAGAAACAAAACTTTTATGAATCCATCTTCAGATGGAAGTGCCACACTTTTCATAGTGACCACCATGAGAACCTACACTTCTCAGTCTTGACACTTGCTGCTCTCAGCTTCGCAACTGCTTAGCAACAATATAATGCTCTTCTGGTGTGTTTAGGATCGACCTTTGGTGTGACGAGGATGTGTGAGACATCTATTATTGTACGGTGTAACAAATACTTAAGCTGCGCCAAGATTTCGAGAAAATTCTTTACACTAGTGGCCTGAGGGTACAAGGGTTAAACCCAAATTTACATAAGCTGTTTACAAGTATTTCAGCGATCACTGGTTGTTATGAGCAAGGGCAGTCTTATCACATGATGATAAGAATACAGTTCAATGGAATATGTCTTTGCACTCGGTACACAAGAAAATACATATTTATGTGAAGTACAACCGCTCCAGTGAGTCAGTGCCTGTCTAAAGCGGCGAGTGAGAAGTAAGTAAAGCTATCCCTGTACCAGGCCGTGAAGGCCCATAGGGTAGTGAGACGTTGAGCGTCCCACATTATCTAGACAAGCGGCTCAAAGATGGCGGTAAGGTTGTCAGCCTTACGCGCTGGCCGCGCTTTACGCCCCAGGATAATTATTGTGTACAAAATTTATATTTTCAGACAAGTCGATCACAGTGGACGCGCGGTCTAAGGCATGAACTGTCTTCACTCGCTCAAACACTGGCTCCGCGGGTTCCAATCTCACTTGAGGCATGGATGTCTGTGTGCGTCTATTATGTGTTTTTGCTGTCCTGTGTGCATGTAGCGGCCTTGCGACGGGCTGATCCCCCATCTAATGACTCCTGCCGTATGTGTAAAAGATCAAGAAACTGAAATTGCGATCAAGGTCCAACAGAGAGCTGTAGAGCCATAATTAGACAGACAGATAGATAGATAGACAGACAAGTCTCCAACGTTGTGTGTGTCTCTGCGAATGTAACTGTGTGCATCTTAAAAGTACTGCTCCATTATTCCATTGGTGTACCATTTTATTCCTATAGAGTACAAAATATATTCAAGGATTTCACGGATCAGAAGAGTGTGAGTTCTTCACGACATGCGCAGTAGCGAGACTGAGCATATGGTTGGACAATAGATGGGTGATGAACTGTAAATGTGTGGAAGGAAGCGTTTGTGGCCTAATTGGGTTACTATCCCAGCATTTTCCTGAAGGGGTTGAGGAAATCGAAAAGAGAAAGAGACATTACAGCTGGTGTCGGCGAAGTTAGTGCCAACTTTTGCGAATAGAGAGTGTCGCGTGGTCAGCGCAAAGGATACCCACGGCCGATAATGTCGGTTTCCTAGACCGGAGCCGCTCTTTTCTTCAAATAGCCCTTAAATTATCCTCACGAGGCTGAGTGGACCCCGTTCCAGACTCACTACTCCTCAGAAAAACTGGTAGTGCCGGTAATCGAACCCGGACCTCTGGATCTGTAGTCAGGAACTATGACCACTAGACCACAGCGGCGGTCGGTAAATTCAAATATTCATATTAGTACGGAAACCATATTTGGTGTAAGCTGTTTCTAGAGAACATCATGTATGCTTGTTCGTTCTTGACCTACTGCATAACTCACGTTCATGCAACGTTTGAGATTCTACTGCTCTGTGTACCCGAAACTGCCTAATTTCGGGGCTTCGGGTCACTGTTACAATATAATCTAGTCCTGTATATACAGAGGAAGAGAGAAACAGAAATGTGGTATAACGTTAGTGGGCCTTTTTGACTTTCAGCCATATTGATCGATTGCACAGCGTATTGAATAAGGTCCTAGATGAAGATTTTAATATATCCAGTTCCATAAACCTTCGCAAGAATTGTGCATTGAAATGTAAATTTTGCTAGTTTTAGTTTGCGTTACACGCTGTTCATAAAATGTTGCAAGTAACCTAAATAAATTGCTAAAAATTCCTTTTGGAATACTGTTTAGCGCATTGCGAAGGGAATTACCGTATTTACGCATGTATAGGCCGCGTGCGTGTATAGGCCGCAGCACAATTTTCAGACAGAAATTATAGAAAAAATAATTTTCTTGGAATATTATTTCAGGAGTAGAACACCCTGTATTACTAATTATGAATATAATTTTTTTTAAATGCAGTGTGATTTCGAATATTTCGAATATAAGCCGCACCCCAGTTTTCCTCTTGAATTTTTGGCAAAAAATGTGCGGTCTTTACATGCGTAAATACGGTATGTCCAATCTTAATTTCTCACGGTATATCTACCCCTCCTGTGTACCAGGTGAGAACAGACAGCCATAATTGTTTCGCGTAAATTTTCCGGAGAAACCTCAACCCACCGAGTAGCTTGCTGTAGCGATAACAGGAGGTGCTGAATTCGAATCTCGGACGGCACAAGAGGTATCTGAACTGAGCTTTCTCATGGTTTCCTTTAGTCCTTCGACAAATTCTTGGAGATTATCTCGATTAAACCACGACCGTTTCCGTCCATGTCCTTACCAGTTGCTCATTCATCGAACATCCTATCATTCAGTGCTTATTCATGGCTTAGCTGCTGCGGTAAAATACTTTCTTACGCCAATAAGGCGTATGGAGAAGTGGCTGTATAGATCTACGTATTCTTGATTTCGGTGCTATTGGGATGTGAGTGGTGAGCCTCACGCCCCGGCCGCTTTACATCCAGGGAAATGGCCCCCAGTACCCATTGGATAGAAGGCTGAGTGGGCCACAGAACCGGTATGGACGAATTTGAGAAGACAGAAATCTTACTCCTACTGGGACTCGAACTCCGATCGTTCGGTCGTCCAGCCCGTAGCCAGTCGAAAAACCGACTGAGAGCGTTGGAAAATAAGTTGTAAAGAACCCTGAAACCGCTCGCCTTTCGGGGTGCTGTGATTATTTTAGTCTTTCGAAAAAATTACTGATATTATTATATCTATCCTGATGAAGTCGACTTCCATGAGTGAGAGCGGGAAATATGGTTTCCTTAAATGTGCACATTTTCCACCTGATAGAGACACCGGCACCACCCAACTACAGTCCAGAATATTAACGATATCCCTCTCTGTCTGGCGAAATGGCAATGGAAACTCTCTTGCCAGACAGAAACATAATTTTATGAGCATGTGGTATGTCATGGCTGCTTTGTCTTTATTTCAGAATCCTGGGATTCAGATGATCGTCACACTGGTACTATGGACCCTCTTCTTTTACCTATTGTATTCCTGGCTGACAATGAAGCCGAAGAACTATCCACCAGGTAAGACAGGGGACGTACTGAGGAAGAACTGCTAAAAGTCTCTGCCAGTTAATTCGCTTACTTGGGGGTGGAGTCCAACTGGATCCACTCGGCACGGCGGCCACTGATTGACCTATTGTAGCCTGCCCTGGGTGATTATGATGATGAAGAATTTGGTGGGATGAAGATTGGTAGGGGAAACCGAAGTACTCGCAGAAAACCCGTCCCAGCGCCACTTTTTCCACCACAAACCCCACTTGACCAGACCTGGGATCGAACCCGGGCCGCCGGGATGGGAAGCCAGCGACTAACCACTTGAGCTATGGCACGGTCTCTCTGCCACTTCCTGTAAACTCATGACAATTGTGAGCTATCAACCTACTGCACACAAATTTTGCTGGGTCTCGTCTACTGTACGTATACACTATGTTTAATACGGACTAAACTTAAAAATTTCTTGACACAGGGCACGATTACATAAATTCGCCATGAGTTTTAACAGGTCCCAAGAGATGAAGTTCTGCTAAACTGTGGAAGTCTCGCTTGATTAGAATATCGCACCACAAAGTAAGTGATGTCACGAAACTGAGTACATTTACCATACAGGGAATCTCTAAGTTTGCTTACTCCCGCCTACTTCTTGTGGTGTTATTTTCTTTTGTTGTGCCTTGGCTAGCGGGGCACGCGGTAGCGTAGTTGATTGAAGCACTATGCTACAAGCCATAAGGTTGCGGGATCGAATCCCGATGAGGTGGATTTTTTCAATTTACCTAATCCTTCCAGTCGCACTATGGGTGAAATGAGTACCAGGAATCATCCTGTGGGGTAAAGGGCGGTTGGCGCATATGGTTGATAATTTCACCGCCATCTGTGAGCAGACGGTCTAGAGAAAATGTGGAAGCCTCGACATCTGAAAACCCTATGGGCCTTCACGGCCTCTTACAGGGGTAGCTTAAAAATACACTAGTTAGTAAATGCATAAATACTGGCTTAGCAATATAATCCTTCTCTCGTGCTCATAGCTGTACAGTACGAGGCGATACATTATTCTTGAAATCTTAATCCAGCGATTTGGTACAACCGAATTTCGTCGATAACACTGGCAGGCCTATAATCTTTATGATGCTGCCTTTTGTATGTGTATGTGTTATTTTGTCTCTATATTTGGCGATGCTTATTTGACAGTTAGCTTTTGTGCTATTGAATGAAGGTAAAAGATGAAGTTTCCCTGTGCTTAATTACTTGCCATTCAGATGAAGTTGAACTTCATGTCCCGGCCGCCTTACCCCAGGACAACTCATATACAGCACCCATTCGAAATGAGGTTGAATGTGCCCTGGAGCCAGCCTGAACAAAGGCCCTTGTCCAGGGGGTCCAGCCCTTAGCCTGGCACTATATCAACTGAGCTATCCAGACTCTAAGTCTTTAACAAAATCATTTCGGAATGTGACAACATTTCAAAGGGTATATTAATAATTTAGCATGTTATTTTTAGTGGTGAGAGAAGTAATATTAGTTTCAGTAAGGTTCAGCTTCACCAGTCACGCGCTCAGTAAACAGTAAACAGCGATAGCTCGATAAACTTCAGGGTCATACGGAAAATAACACAAATGAGAGAGTAGTAATGTTATAGAAATAAAATGAAAACACTAAGGAGCATTTGTCCCAAAACTGACTTTTGAGGATCGCGTGGTAAAATATCAAACGTTGAAGAGAGAACAACAGAGAAATATATAGAGTGCTGTATTTTATTTGCGTAACTGAGAAAGAAGTTGAGCTCTCCAGAAGGTAACCCATAACTACTGAGCTTGTGGAGCAGTAATTCAAGTGGACTGATATCCAAACATTGCTGTAATCAAAACAAACTTGACCTTTTGAACAAACCAGAGGAGTAACACAATCAAGGAAAGTGAGTAAAAGTGGCAATAACAGATTTAGATTTTCTAAAACTGTGTTTGGAAAAGCTAAGCTTAAATAGGTGATGAAGGTAAAGTTCTCTCTGTGCTTCATTAATTGAACGTCACACCGTGAAGACGTATGAGGGAGTGGAGGTGTAGCTCCACAATTCTTGACATTAGCACTAGATGGAGGTGAGTGATGGGCATACGCCCATGCCGCCTTAACCCCTGAGAAACCACTCCCGGCACCCACTGAATACGAGGCTGGATGGGCCCCAGAGTCGGTCTGGACGTTGTAGCGTAGAGAGAAATTTCTTGTCGCTACTGGGAACTGAACCCCAGCCTTCCAGCCCATAGCCGGTCACTATACGGTCTGAGGCATCCCGAATCTTTTAAAATGTGCGAAATTTGGTCACATCACAACAACTTCGAAAGTTATTAACAAAAGCTACAGGCATGTAACTGGGGGCACGCGACAGCGTAGTTGGTTGAGACAATATTCTACAAGCCGGAATGTCGTAGTTTCGAGTCCCGAGGACGGGAATAGGATTTTTTCAAGTGACCTGATCCTTCCAGCTGCAATATGGCCCTGGGGTCGACTCAGCCTCTTACAGAAGTGAGTACCATGAATATTCTTTGGGGTAAAGGGCGGCCAGCGCATAGGGCTGACAACCTTACCGCCATCTATGAGCGATTGTCTAGAAAATGTGGGAACCTCGACGTCTCACAATCCTATGGGCCTCCACGGCCTGTTACAGGGATAGCTTTACTTAACTTTTTCCTTTTTTTAAATGCATATAATTGTTAGCTAATAAGCTGTTGATTTTTTAAAGAAAGAGGAGCAATATCTATTGCTTCCACAAGTTAGCAAAGTATTCGGAAGCAAGCCAAGATTAGAAACAAGCTTCAAAATGGGTACAGATATATTAGAAGGAACCTTTACAACAGAACAAATTGCACGATGATGTCCTACTTATTGGATGGCTTTAGCCATTTTCGGCATTTTGGGAGCTTAGTTTTGGGCGGGAGATAAGGAGAAAAATCACAATTTAAAAGTATTTCTATCGATTTCAGCTGTAATAAATTAGTACCCATTTCTATATTTGGAAAAATGCTATGATTCCAAAATTGCTTACCTGAAGATTTTACATTTTCATCTCGATACAAATTAACGAAATCAGTCGTGTTTAATGGGCGTTATAACAACTTTATGGCTGAAAGAATTTCTTTTTCGAATGTCTATGAGACATTTTTATTTACAAAATTGTAATTTCCCCCCCCCCAAAAAACCACAAGATCTGTATTATATTAAAGCATCCGTCAATAATGCAACAACATTTTTCTTAATATAAAAGACATCTAATATATGTGAGAAAGTGAGAAAAAATATGTAAAACTAAAAACATTTTAGTAATTTTATGATCATTTTTATTGTATAAGTTTTACTTTAAGTTTCTTAATGAAATTTTATGATTAAATATTAAAGTTGAACTTTTATTGAGAAATGTATATTTTAGGTGTCTTTTATATGTTAAAAATATTGTTGCATTATTGACGGATGCTTTAATAGTAAGGATAATGTCTCAATACAACGGGATGCTAAAATATAACAGGATCTGTACTTTTTGAAGTGCTTGGGTGGAATATGGTTGGGTTAGGGCCACATTTACTTTGTCAGTGTCAACATAAACAGGCTGTTAATCTTCTTTTGGCTTATTTTTGATTTCATCCATCGTCTGGTATATAAAAGACAAAAGACCACGACGTTTCGGAGACTGGATCTGTCTCCGTCTGGACCACTGGTCCAATGATTGAGACTAGCTCTTTCTAACGGACCCCACTGAGTAGGTTTATCCTTCCCTATCCACCTGAAGACGGAGACAGATCCAGTCTCCGAAACGTCGTGGTCTTTTGTCTTTTACACACCAGACGATGCATGAAGTCCAAAATAAGCCAAAAGAAGTACAGTATACACCATCGTCAGAATCCGTTCAAGTCTATCAGGCTGTTAATTATAAAGTAAAGAACAGTAATGATTTGGACAATCCTACAGGTCCACTACACTTTCCTGTCATCGGTCCTGCCTTCTCTGTGCCAAGAAAACTTGTTCACATTACCCTGGCTGGGGAATGGCTTCAGAAATACGGGCCTGTGGTTGGGTTAGCGTTTGGTTCCCGTAAAATAATAGCAATTTGTGGGGCTCGTGAAGTTCTCGAAGTCTTACAAAGAGAAGAATTCCAAGCAAGACCAACCAGCATGTTCTTCAAAGAAAGGTCCTTTGGCAAACGACTTGGTAAGTGAAGTTTCAGATTTTATCATTTAGACCCTTATATTTTTTGAACTGAGACATAAAAATACAAACCCATCTACACGTATGTACATCTTGCTCCATTTTATTAAGTTATTCGAAAGAGCAAGTGGCTTGAGCTATGCAAACACACTTATAACAGAGTTAGATCTTATGAGAGCAACCCTAAAATCGTTCGGCCGCTCAGATTTCAGAAACTAGACTCCTCACGTCAGTCCGCACCTCACAGATTTGGACTCGTAGCCGACGGGCCAAAAAGAAGGATGGTCCTAAACATGATCTTGTCAGAGCGGTCCGGCGCGCAGTTCAAGCTGAAAGAAATTGGCATGATATGACGCCGCCATCTTTGTTATATGACGATGGCTCTCCAGACGTGATTAACCTGTGGCCTCCGAGACGCATGCATCTCTTACGAACTGTTAGTGTGATTCGCGGAGATAAGATCAGATAATATCTCTTCTACGAATGGATTAAATATAAAAATCACGCTGATTCTGTAGTCTAGTGGTCAGAGTTCCTGGTTAAAGATCCAGAGGTTCCGGGTTAGATTTTCTGTCAAATAGTAGGTCTAGAACGGGGTTAACTCAGCCCGTCAGGTTAATTAAGGAGCTATTTGAATTGAAAAGTAGGGGCTCCCGTCTAGAAAACCGAAATTAACGGCCGTGGTGATTCGTTGCGCTGATCACGTGACTCCCTCTATCCGCTAAAAATGGCACTAACTTCGACGACAAGCGGCGGTCGCTCGGTCGGTATAGTTCGCTTGCGGACAAAAGCCACGGAGTTTGTTCTGTTTGTTGGCTGGAAAGCTTATACCAGAACACCTGTACTATTCATCCCTGTCAATTTTAAAACATAAAGAGTGCGTATTTGTACCTATTATCTTGTGATACTGTTTCTACGGTCACGGAAGATATCACTGCGTGTTACCTGAAATGTGGATATATTATTCCCGAGCAGGAGTGGCCAGGGGTGAGGGGTGGGGGGAGTAATTGCATGAAATTTCACATCTTACCTATGAATTATCAAGCGCCAACTTGTTAGGCATATGGAACAGTGTTTGCACCTTTCCTGCTTGTCTTGCACTTACATGTACTTCAAAATGTTTACCGTCTGAACGTTCTTCCTTTCTCTGCTTGCTGAAATTCAATTTACTTCATCTCTATATAAATAATTTCAACCATGAGAAATATATCACATAATAAGAGGCGAAGATACCACGAAACTCGTAGAAATTTTGAATTTACCGATGAAGGTGAAAAATCTCTGTGCCCTCTTTGAAATTTGCCGCTGTCTCGCCACAAGTTAGCAGTTTAAGACATCAGTACGAAAAAGAAGCCGAGCAGTTCCTTCCAAATTTCTCTTTGAACCATAATTAAGTAAAAACAACTTTACTGCGTTGAAACCAAGCTTAATTAACAAACAATATTTTCTTCATTCAGTAAAGGGTCTGCCAGTTTTATTTTATTGGACATTGCTCGTCCTAAACGATGTACCTAATTGACTGAGAATATGTTAAGAAGAACATTGCTGAAGTCATTCCAGTTTTTGGTCAAAACAACTCAAAACTTCAGAGACTGAAATCACGTAAAGACGTACGATCCAATTTTTTTTTATTAAAATCTGTCACAACACAACAATATCAAGGTCAAGTCCAAGATTGACTCGGCTACATGTTTCGGCTTTTAAAGCCATTATCAGACAAATTCATGATTAACATATTCGCACTACTGAACTGCTGTACTGGTAAAACTAGATACATGATAATTATTACATTATAAAATGCTTGGCATAAAAGTACAATGAACTAGACTATATAAAAAAGAAAGTTACGAGTATAGGGTAAAACAAGGTTAAGACTCTTCATGTGACGTTTCATATAATCAAGTCAGTTGTTGGTTGTTGCAATTTTGTTATATTCCCGCGGACATAATGGTATATCCTAGATTTTGTGAACTGCTTTGGAGGCCCGTGGTATGGATGCAGTATAATATTGACATTAATTGTTTGGCCGGTGCCCCATCTTACAATGTATTTGTCCGCTGTATAGGGAATATAAACTGCAACTGTTGAGTTGTGAAGGATTTTAATAAAGAAATTGTATATTATAACACAACAGGATGCACGAAATGGAAAAAAAAACAAAAAAAAACGTATCATCCAAATCGATAATGTTCTGAGAAAAAAGTGAAGAAGCATTTCAAAAGTTTTTAGTTTCGAAATTGGGTCGTGTTGAATCGACTGATATTACAGAAAACCCATAATTAGCATGTTGGCACGAAAGCTTCCCCAGGCGCAGTTGAGTTAGGATGCACGTGGACATAGAAGACCACCCCGCTATAATTGGCCGATCTGAGTTAGATAACAAAGCGGAGAGCGAAGAGGTAGAAGATTTTTTTTCAGTCAAAATTTGGTTTGTGTGTCTAGTGATCATAACATTACTAGTGATTGGTGGGTTGGAGACGAACACCCGACCTCCAGTCGAGCAGATGAAACTCGACCAGACATTGGCGTACGCTAAGAATCAGGATAAAGAGGTTGAGTTTTTAAAACAGATGTTAGAGACGCATCAACAAAAAATGTCTGAAACGAGGAAAGGGCGTTTACATGAAGGAGAATGAGGTGAGAGGGTCACGAAGAAAGCATGGAAGAGAAGAAAAATCCAAACAGATTTAATTCCGGAAGCTCTAAATGAAAGAGTTTGCTAGGAACACCGAGGTACACTTTGAAGAATAATACGATGGGCAGTCAAATGAAAACGGGCCAGAAGCCAACATAAAGTAAAGTACATTTCTTACCTCAAAAGTAATCTCCAAAACTGTTAATACATTTATCCCACTGGGAGATAAGACAGTCAATCCCATCTTTGAGAAAGCTTGTGGGCTGTCTACGGAACCCCATCTTTACCCAGCCACACACGTCTTCATCCGATGAAAACCGATGTCCACGAATGTCTCTCTTCAGGTCTCCAAAAATGTGAAAATCACATGGGGAGAGAACTGGGCTGTAGGGGGGATGTTGAAGAACTTCCAAACCAACTTTCTGTAGCGTATTCCTCACAGTTGGCAGTGTGGGGGGGCGCATTATCAAGAAGAAGGATAATGCCGTTCGGTGGGCGTTCTGACTTTATGGGACGTCTCAGTTTCTGCAAAGTGTCTTCATAGCGCTGTGCACTGATTGTGAGCCCATGCTCGAGAAATTCGACAAGCACAGGGCCCTTGCAGTCAAGAAGAATGTCATCACTTTACCGGAACTGGTGTGTACAGTTTTGGATTTCTTCGGTGGGGGAGAATTCACGTGTTTCCACTGTTGGCTCTGCCGTTTGCTCTCGGGTTCAAAATGGTGGCACCATTTTCGTCCCCAGTGGCAATATGGCACAGAAAAGCATACTCTTCCTCATGGTATCGTTGCAAGTGACCCATCGATGCAGCCATTCTCTGAGTCTTCTGTTCCTCCGTGAGTTGATGTGGAACCCACTGCGCGTAGATTTTGCGGTACAGCAGGTGTTTTGTCAGTATGGCGTGTACGAAACCGTGACTTATTCCCATCAAAAGACTAATTTCTTCCACAGTGATCAGTCGGTTTGCCCGGATATGACCATCCAACGCAGCAATAACATCAGCAGTGATGGCACGGCTAGCATCATCTTGCAGTGACACACGTCCCTCTCGGAATCTCTTATGCCACGCCAGCATACGCGAACGTGACATGCTGTCTTCGCCGTAAACAACAGATAAGCGACGATGAATTTCTCGCCCTCCTACTCCTTCAGCAGTCAAAAAGGGCACTACACTTCGATTTTCTTCTTCTTTTTTTGTTTGGCACTACAGCCCCAGTGGGCCTAGGCCTACCTCCATGAACTTCTCCTTTCACTTCGGTTTTTCTAGATCTTACACATTCGGTAAGATTCCTTGGGCGAGTGATCAGTATGTCGCAAGGCCTCTACCTGCACAGAAACACAGAAAAACGCACACACACAAACTAACATACATGCCCTGAATGGGATTCGAACCCACGATCCCGGTTTCCAAGCGATCGAAGACAGTACATGCTTTAGACCGCTCGGCTGCCGTGACCGGCGTTCGATATTCTTTACCCGCCTCCATTACTGATGGTGGACTACAACACGTAGCGCTAACCTTACTTCCAGCACAATAAATAAACGTCTAGTGTGCCAGGGCACGTTGTCACTGTGCTTTCCCGAGTCGCCACCAGATGTTCGTACCGTAAGCAAATTCCAGTGTTACCAACTAGCGCGTCGTGTGAGTTATGCGTGGTGACCCGTTTTCATTTGGCTGCCCCTTATATATTACATTTATCTTAAAGATAATATATATATATAGGTATACACTGAATTCGTCTGACTCAGGGCAGACAATAATTACAGCTTGAGCTTTCGGATTCTAAAATGGACAGGGAATTTTTGGACTGCCTTACAGGGCGTTTCTCAAGAACTTACTCCGTAGATGTACTAATGGTTCTTTTGATAGCTAATGAAAGTCGCCTGTAAACTACAGGGGTGTTCTTCTCTGACGGTCCATTCTGGGTTGAACAACGCAGATTCACTCTCAGAAACCTAAGAGATTTCGGTTTTGGCAAGCAGTCAATGGAAGGCTTCATTATGGAAGAGGTAGAAGATACTATAAAGGAAGTGACGCAGAAAGGAGTTCTGCAGGTATTTGGCTAACTTTATCAACAACTTAGCCTACAAATTATACAGAATTAAGTTATTGAATTATTATTATTATTAATATCACATTAATTTGTAATTTTTAATTATTTATCTAATCCATGGGAAGACTTGCGCACAGACTTAGGCCATGTTCGCACGCAGTTAAATTATCGACTAGGACTCAGAGGAACATCTTCTTACTGTCTGGCTGTCACTAGTCACCAAAACTTTCCGAATCAGTTCCAGATGCTTGAATTTGTTGTTCTATATGTCTCGATGCAATGGCAGTTGTTTAAGGTGTCAATTCTTCCCGTTATATCAGTCTTAGCCTGCCCATATATCCTCCTATGTGAAGGAAATTTGTGGACGCTATTAATTTCTGTCTAGTGGTTAGCGTTCCTGGCTACAGATCCAGAGGTCCGGTTTCGATTCCCGGCGTTACAACATTTTTTCTGGAAAGTAGTGGGCCTGGAATGGGGTTCACTCAGCCTCATGATGATAATTGAGGAGCTATTTCAAGGAAATAACGGCTTCGGTCTAGAAAACCGAAGTTAACGGCCGTGGGGATTCGTTGCGCTGATCACGCGACATCCTCTATTCTCAAAAGTTGGCACTAACTTCGCCGACAAGCAGCGGTCGTTCAGTCGGTATACACGTACGTGTATTTCGCTTGTGGACTAAAATCACGGAATTTGTTCTTTGTTTTGTTTTATTAATGCTGTTTCTCTTCTAACATGAAGGTTAACGGACTGTTCAGTGTTGCCACGCTGAATGTCCTGTGGCGGATGATAGCTGGTTCCCATTATTCGCGAAACGACGAGGAACTCCTGACTCTTCTTGAGAAAGTGAGCAGATTTTTTCGTTCAGGAAATCCCAGTGGAGGACTTGTTAATTTTTTCCCTATCCTAAAAACTATTGCTCCTGTCCTATCTGGGCACACCGAAGCGAAGGAGAGCCTTTTGGATATGCAGAACTATTTCAGAGTGAGTAATATCTTTTAAAATTTTTATTTTGAACTTTTAAATGATAATATAATAGAAATTTACGTTTCAAGATCGCTAATACAAAATATTGTCCTTGAATCCTGAGTCCGATGTAATTCATATCCTATCAAGTTATTTCCTTAAGGACAGTATTAATGTTCGCATGTCATGTCGTAAATTTGCCTGTTGTCACTTTCAAGGAGCTGGTTAATAAACTCATTATATTTTATTAACTACAGAGATTTATTATGATAACCACAAGAACCATCATTAGAGCATATTCGGAGATAGCTGAATTTATTCATACTTTGACCCTCTATATCTCCAAGCTTTAATTTAATATCACCCACTTATATTCCTAGCCGTCCTTAGTCCGTTTTTTCCGACTAAAATTTATTATCCGTTTACTGCTTTTCCCCTCGAATGCTAAACTCTCAGTTCTTCGCGTGCATCCTGCTTCTAATAAACAGAAAGATCCCTTCCGATTCGGGGTGCGTCTAATATTCTCGAATTTCGTTCAAAACAAATACAGAATATTCATTCTTAAGAGGTTGACTCATCTGACTCATGTAGAATTCGAACGAAGAAAGGGACTTCTTGAAAGGGCGGGCGCACACTTATTCAGATATTGTATACTATGAGTTACTGACAGTATAGTTATTTAATTTAAAAAAATCAGGATAAGTGATAACCTCGAACATTAAACTAAGTAAATTTACTTATTTTCCGTATTAATTTATAGAAATCCATATGGGAACACAAGAAAACTATAGATAAAAATAACCCAAGGGACTTTATAGATGTGTACTTACGAGAAATGGAGGTGCAACGCAATAAACCGGACACCACATTCACAGGTAATACTCCTATGTCCTAATGAATATGGACAGCTCAGTTGTTCAGGGAGATGCCGATTTCTTTCATGCAACATTTGTGTTAAAATAAGTTTAAGTTGTGTCTTTTGACGTAGCCTGGTTTAGAGTAGGTCAGTGGCTCTGTATTTGATAGCAATATTGCAACCTTGCATAAGTTTGCACAGAACTAGAAAGTAGGCCGGTTTGCTGCCACAGTTCAGATATTTGGGAACGATTATAACAAATCAACACCTGATTCAGGAGGAAATTAAGAGGAGATTGAACTCGGGTAATGCTTACTACCATTCAGTCCAGAACCTTTCGTCTTCTCGTCTACTGTCCAAAAACATAAAAATTAGAATATACAAAACTATAATTTTGTCGGTGGTTCTGTATGGGTGTGAAACTTGGTCTCTGACATTAAGGGGGGGGGACATAGACTGAGGGTGTTTGAGAATATTTGGACCGAAGAGAAATTAAGTGACAGAAGGTTGGAGAAAACTGCATAATGAGGAGCTTCATAACTTGTATTCTTCCGCAAGTATAATTAGGATGATTAAGTCAAAGAGGATGAGGTGAGCAGGGCATGTAGCACGAATGGGGGAGAAGAGGAATGCACATAGTATATTGGTGGGAAAGCCGGAAGGAAAGAGACCACTGGGAAGACCAAGGTGTAGGTGGGTGGACAATATTAAAATGGATCTTAGAGAGATAGCATGGGATGGTATAGATTAGACTGATCTGGCTCAGGATAGAGACTAGTGGAAGGCTCTTGTGAACACGGTAATGAACCATCGGGTTCCATACTGTACAACGCTGGGAAATTCTTGAGTAGCTGCAGATTTGGTTTCTCCTCAGGAAGGGCTCGGCTCCATAAATAAGTAAGTAAGGCCGATTTGCTGGCTTGTACAGATAACAAATAAAATCGAAACACGGATTCTCTTCTTCATCCTTGAGGGTAATCTAGTTCACGAGGGGCTGGTCTCTGTTCAAAGTTCGATATCTCGCACTGTCCTCTTAGGCAGTCTGTTCCTAAAGGTACCACATTTGGATTGATGTTTCTATTTCTGTTAAATTGAGTGTTTAGGCACTTATCCCTGTAGAGGTTTTGAGGTTATCAAGAGGCCCAGCATATGGGATATAAGGCCCTGTACTTCACTGACAGCCAATTGACATTTCGGAGGAAGACATCGCCTCGACCTTCAAGGCCGAAAAATAAGCCAAGCAAGAAACCAGGACGAAGAAACTATCAGTTTCCTGCTGGTTTCCTGCTATGACTGCACGGCAATATATCCCAGAATACAGGACCTTTCACTTCTCTCTAGTATCTCACTGCAGGCGACCACAAACGAATTCGCACTCTCTGATTTCCGTTCAGCCAGAGCCCATTGATGCAAGAACCGGTGAGATGTCAGTGTCCTGGACAAAAAATTGCCTTCATCTTCAGGGTTGAAGAATAAACCATGTCCGAAACCAGGAAGAAGCACCCGGCAAGCGAAATCCTGTTTGTTGGCTGTTTCGTGCTGGTTTCTCGCCTGGCTTTCTCTTCAACCCATAAGATGTTCATGACACGTTCCTCTGAAACGTCAGCTGACTTTCTTTGGACTACATGGCCTTATATTACAGAAAATAAAACTCTTCAGTATCTTACTAGCATCAAATTATAATTCCACAGATATTGCATACTCATTTGTCAAAACTTCAGTGTTCGGGCACCACCTCCGGTGGCTGAAGTCGAAGTAAGGAACTTAATTTTACACAGACAAACCTTCTCGGGCGTCTATACGGCTGTGTCTATATGACAGTATTATCTGTATTATCTGGAATTCTTTTATCAGAGGTTGGTATGATAAGTGCCGTATACTTGCGTTGTTTCCTGAGTAAGCCTACAGCACCTTCTGTAGATTTAAATATATCGTGCGCACGTGCCGCTATTCATATCAACAACTCATGACGAAGATTGTAACAGTCTTCGGGTACTGACACCATACTGATAAGGCTAATCGCCCGAGAAAACTTCATTCGTCATGAAATCTATAAATGACACAAGCTGGACTTTGAATTTATACCTGTGAGCAGAACAGAAGTTGCGTAAAACAGTAGTCTGATTTCTCGGATAAGACATGGTATAATTTCGTTGCTAAGTTCCAACGTTTCGGAGGAAACTACTGCTTCCATTTTAAGTATACTCTGAAGGTGGGGATACAAGTTCCTCCGAAGTGTTGACACATGTCTATCAATTTCAGATATGAGAGATATGATAAATGGGCCCACTCCAATGTAATATTTACCCTATTTCTTCGTTTATATTAATTAACAAGAATTCATTGACACTGGAAACAGCAGTATATAGGACTGTAGATTATAGCTGGACAGAAAAAGCAAAATGTTGATTGTCTGCATATTTCATTTAATGTCAAGTTTCATAATAATTCCTTTGAGTATTATGGAAGGTGAGAGATTCCTCTGTCAGTTGGATGGCAAACGGATGCTTAGTGCTCGAAAGAAGATGAAGCCGTGAATCTATTGGGATTTTTACTGTAATTGTTTATCTCGGCTGGTCAGGAAAGGTGAATACAACTCCTTGTATTGCACAGAGCAAAATTAACGATGGCAAAATTCGTTCTCCGACCATTAATTTCGGAAAGAATTGTACCTTGAAAGACCGCATCTGTTATCTAGTGGTCAGAGTTCGTGGCTACAGATCCAGAGGTCTTGGTTCGATTTCCAGCGCTACCAGATTTTTTTTCAGAGAAGTAGTGGGTCTGGAACGGGGTCCACTCAGCCTCGTGAGGATAATGGAGTTGTTTCAAGGAAATAGCGGCTCCGGTCTAGAAAACCGAGACTAACGGCCGTGGGGATCCGTTGCGCTGACCGCGCGACACTCTCTATCCGCTAAACTTGGCACTAACTTCGCCGACAAGCGGCGCTCTTGCGGACTACAGGCACGGAGTTTGTTTTGTTTGTTTTACCTTGAAATATGAAGAAGACACCAGAAGCCTTCACGTAAGTTTATTTAGTGAATTATCAAAGACTGAGCTATTCCTGTTACCTTTATTTAATTGAAGTTCCAGAATCGTAAAAATACTTATGAAACTTCTAACCACCTCCACGGAGAAGGTTAGGTCCTATAGTTCCGGGTTGGTGAACATTAACATGTTCACAACAACGTGCCACTAGAAATTATCTTAAGCTGTTTTAATTGAAGCCACAACTTTACAAAAAAAAAAAAAAAGCACACTTCGTGGCCTGTAGTCCGCAAGCGAACTATACCAACCGAGCGGCCGTCACTTGTTGACGAAGTTAGTGCCAACTTTTGCGGGTAGAGGGTGTCACGTGGAGCGCGACGGATCCCCATGGCCGTTAATATCGGTTTTCTAGACCGGAGCCGCTATTTCCTTGAAATATCTCCTCGAGTATGCTCACGAGGTTGAGTGGACCGAGTTCCGGACCCACTGCTTCTCAGAAAATCTGGTAATGCCGGAAATCGATCCCGGGACCTCTGGATCTGTAGCCAGGAACTCTGACCACTGGACCACAGAGGCGGTCTCCACACCTCTACACCATATGTCTTTTAGGATTTTCATCTGCGTCTAGGAATCTGTCTTCCCATTTTTCCGTTTGAAATATGTATGAATTGTATATGTGACACACGGCCAATCTATCGCATCCTCTTCTATTTCGTCACCCTAGATGAATGAAGGAGTAGTATGTATTGAAGTTTAAATATCCACAAATACAATAAATATGTTCTATGTCCGCCAGAGGAAGGACTCATAGTACTCTGTCTGGACCTGTTCTCTGCCGGCGGAGAGACACTGTCGAGCTCTCTAGCCTTCTCACTGCTCTACATGATACTGAACCCGAATGTACAGAAGGCTGTACAGAAAGAGCTGGACCAAGTGGTTGGGAGAGACAGGAGACCCACACTAGCAGACAGAGGAAGGTAAGGCGATGTTTGTAGAATGGAATTCTCATATCCTCCAAATGCGTTCCTTGCGATTTTTCATAACTCACTGGCCTAAATATTTATATATTGCAGGCCATAAAGTATTGCTGTCATAGCTACCCTGAAGTAGGGTCTATCTAGCCATAAATTATTTGTACGTAAGGGTTGAAATTAATTTTTAGTAGCAGGCAGACTTTGCAGATCATGAACGTCACATGGAAATAATTGTAAAAGTTAAAAAATTTGTTCCTATATGTATCATTGATGGGAATGATAACTGCGACATGGAGAAAGCTGGCTAAAGAGTTAACGCTTCTGGCTTATAAAATGGAGGTCTCAAGTTTAAGTCTCGGTCAGGACACAAAGTGTTTCGACTGAGGTTTCTCACTCTCTTCAGGCAGATGCTGGGATGGTACCTGAAATCATAATGAAACGGCTTTCCAAATCATCCTGCCATCAGACACTCTATGGACCTAGTCGATACACAGACAGCCTCGTTAAACAAACAAAGAGATGATGTAGTTCTGACGTTTTAAGACATTAAAATAATTCGGTCAGAAATCGTTCTGGAACTAAGCAGGAGTCTAAGTCACGTGTACGTTCCCTTCCAGCCTTTTCTCTTCTCGAAATCGTCCAGACCGGTTCTGGGGTCCACCTAACCTCTATGCAATGGCTACCTGAGGCTTTTTTCCCGGGAGTAAAACAGCCNGGACAGAAAATCCGTCTTCGAAACGTTGTGTTTTTGAATACAAACAGAATGGTGTTATAGATAGAAATGGGGCGATGGATAATGTCCAGAAACGTAATATTGTACTAATGTACAATCGCCAGAAACTTTTAGATCCTATATACCTTCTTTATGTGTTAAAAATTACAAGCAAGGAGGCAGTGCTAATCTTTGACGTCATATCTGATAAATTTAAGACACTGGTATTTGTGTATGTATAAATTACGTACAGAAATGTATGGCTAAATTATGTAATTACTTATTCACAGACCTCGTCACATAGACTGAAGAGATTGCAGGATAGTACATGCCGTAAGGTCTTCCCAGAACTCCTTACAGGCATCAAGAGAAGAAAAGAGGGACCTCTATACTGACATTAAAAATCTTTTCAGCTCGTGCTAAATGCATTAAAAACACATCTTTATTCGGCAAGGGGTACGCGGTAGCGTAATTGGTTGAGGCACTATGCTACAAGCCGGAAGATCCCGGGTTCGAGTCCCGATGAGGTGGATTCTTTTTCAATGTACCTAATCTTTCCTGCTGCAATATAGCCCTGGGGTTGATTCAGCCTCTAACAGAAATGAGTAGCAGGAATGTTGCTGGGGCTAAAGGGCCGTCGGCGTGTAAGGCTGACAACTTCACCGCCATCTGTGGGCCGATTGTCTAGAGAAAATGTGGGAGCCTCGAGTCTCACAACCCTATGGACCATCACAGCCTGTTACAGGGATAGCTTTACTTTTACATTATTCGGCAAACCTTTTCACAGTAGTACGAGTATGGTAGTCTGCGAGCTCCTTGGGCGGATTTGAGTTTCTCATAGCAGTTATTATGAAGAGTCCTTTCTTCTGGTATATAACACCGTGTAGTCCGCTAAAAGTCAACCGACGTTTCGCAGGAGAATGTCGCGTCCGTTTTCGGGCCGAAGAATAAGAATGGAGACGGAATGTTCCTCAGAAACGTCGTTGATTTTAAACGGACTATATGGCCTTATACCCAAGAAGAAAGAACTCTTCTCCTTGGGGACAATTTTCGTCAGAGAAAAGCTCTCCCTGTAACTGGCCACTAAGGCCCATAGGGTTGTGAGACGTCGAGGCTCCCACATTTTCTCTAGATATTCGGCTCACAGGTGGCGGTAAGGTTGCCAGCCTTACGGGCCGGCCGCTTTTTAATCCCCAGGAAGACTCCTCGTATTCATTTCTGTTAGAGGCCGAGTCGACCACAGAGCCAGAGTGCTGCTGGGAGGATTAGGCAAATTGAAAAAAAAAAATCCACCTCATCGGGACTCGAACTCGCGACCTTTCAGCTTATAGCAAAGTGCCTCAACCAACTAAGCTATCGCTTGCCCCTGAGAAATATAAAAAATTACGAATTAATGGATATACCAATAATATTTCAAGATGCACTGACAATAAACAACGCGGTGCCACTCAAGTTGTACTCGTATAATATTGTTGGCAGATTACTTGGGACTTCTAAGTGTAGGTGAGTGGACGATATCAAAAATGGGCCCAAGGGAGATTGGGTGTGAGAGTGCGGACTGGATTAATTAGGTCAGCGCAGCGTGCAGAGTTGTAGCGTTGTGAACGCAGTGTTGAACTCGCTTGTGCTCGTATGTGACTGGCAACATCGCACAAGAAATCGTGTCCTAAACTTAAGAACTTCAAATGCTTTCAACTTAATCATACCATCATTGCCGGTATTTCTACAACATCCAATGACACTTCTGGGTCGTTATGGCTCTTNTAAGGCCCATAGGGTTGTGAGACGTCGAGGCTCCCACATTTTCTCTAGATATTCGGCTCACAGGTGGCGGTAAGGTTGCCAGCCTTACGGGCCGGCCGCTCTTTAATCCCCAGGAAGACTCCTCGTATTCATTTCTGTTAGAGGCCGAGTCGACCACAGAGCCAGAGTGCGGCTGGGAGGATTAGGCAAATTGAAAAAAAAAAATCCACCTCATCGGGACTCGAACTCGCGACCTTTCAGCTTATAGCAAAGTGCCTCAACCAACTAAGCTATCGCTTGCCCCTGAGAAATATAAAAAATTACGAATTAATGGATATACCAATAATATTTCAAGATGCACTGACAATAAACAACGCGGTGCCACTCAAGTTGTACTCGTATAATATTGTTGGCAGATTACTTGGGACTTCTAAGTGTAGGTGAGTGGACGATATCAAAAATGGGCCCAAGGGAGATTGGGTGTGAGAGTGCGGACTGGATTAATTAGGTCAGCGCAGCGTGCAGAGTTGTAGCGTTGTGAAAGCAGTGTTGAACTCGCTTGTGCTCGTATGTGACTGGCAACATCGCACAAGAAATCGTGTCCTAAACTTAAGAACTACAAATGCTTTCAACTTAATCATACCAACATTGCCGGTATTTCTTCAACATCCAATGACACTTCTGGGCCTTTATGGCTCTCTGTTCTTGAATTCCATAGTGCTAAGAATTATAGTATCGTGTTTCGGTCGTCAAATCCTTGTTTGTAACTTCGGGATCATCACACAAATTCGATGCTTTCATTACGGTAGAAACGGTTGTTATGTGAGATTAAATTTAAAATTTAACAGAATATCTGTCACTGCGCAATAATTATTCGCAGTTTGGGGAGGCGTCATTAANTTGAAAAAAAAAAATCCACCTCATCGGGACTCGAACTCGCGACCTTTCAGCTTATAGCAAAGTGCCTCAACCAACTAAGCTACCGCGTGCCCCTGAGAAATATAAAAAATTACGAATTAATGGATATACCAATAATATTTCAAGATGCACTGACAATAAACAACGCGGTGCCACTCAAGTTGTACTCGTATAATATTGTTGGCAGATTACTTGGGACTTCTAAGTGTAGGTGAGTGGACGATATCAAAAATGGGCCCAAGGGAGATTGGGTGTGAGAGTGCGGACTGGATTAATTAGGTCAGCGCAGCGTGCAGAGTTGTAGCGTTGTGAAAGCAGTGTTGAACTCGCTTGTGCTCGTATGTGACTGGCAACATCGCACAAGAAATCGTGTCCTAAACTTAAGAACTACAAATGCTTTCAACTTAATCATACCAACATTGCCGGTATTTCTTCAACATCCAATGACACTTCTGGGCCTTTATGGCTCTCTGTTCTTGAATTCCATAGTGCTAAGAATTATAGTATCGTGTTTCGGTCGTCAGATCCTTGTTTGTAACTTCGGGATCATCACACAAATTCGATGTTGTTATGTGGGACTAAATTTAAAATTTAACAGAATATCTATCACTGCGCAATACATTGTTCGTAGTTTGGGGAGGCGTCATTAAATCAATTATCCAATCGTATAGCGTCAGAGATATTGGAGGGAATCCAGAAGGAAGGAGACCACTGGGAAGACCAAGGCGTAGGTGGGTGGACAATATTAAAATGGATCTTAGAGAGATAGGATGGGATGGTATGGATCGGATTGACCTGGCTCGGGTTAGGGACCAATTGGAGGGCTCTTGTGAACACGGTAATGAACCTTCGGGTTCCATAAAATGCTGGGAAATTCTTGAGTAGCTGCAGATTTGGCTTCTCCTCAAGAAGGGCTCGGCTCCATAAGTAACTAAGTAAGTATAGCGTCAGAGATAAACTGTCGATATGTGCAACTGGTTCCATATCGATCTTCAGAGAGATCGATAACAGTTAGACGATAGTTTAGGCTTGAATTATTTAAGTGGAACAATCGAGCGCAACAATCATTGTCATGTGATCCGTGGTTTCGAACAGGAATCCATGGTAGTGATCAACCTCTACAGTGTATTCCAAGACCAGGAACACTGGGGCGATCCTGAGGTCTTCAGACCTGAACGATTTCTGGACTCAGACGGCCATTTCGTTAANATAATATTGTTGGCAGATTACTTGGGACTTCTAAGTGTAGGTGGGTGGACGATATCAAAAATGGGCCCAAGGGAGATTGGGTGTGAGAGTGCGGACTGGATTAATTAGGTCAGCGCAGCGTGCAGAGTTGTAGCGTTGTGAAAGCAGTGTTGAACTCGCTTGTGCTCGTATGTGACTGGCAACATCGCACAAGAAATCGTGTCCTAAACTTAAGAACTACAAATGCTTTCAACTTAATCATACCAACATTGCCGGTATTTCTTCAACATCCAATGACACTTCTGGGCCTTTATGGCTCTCNGACTTATAACCCTATGCGCAAATCAGCTCACTCTGCCTTCAGTAGTATACACGCTGACAGTAGGGGAGCTGGGTATCACTGTATCACACGCTCCCAATTACACAATCGCACACACGTCCGGACCCTCTCACCGCGACGGCTGCTATACTCCAACTTGTAGTCGGCTGGCTGTTACTTTATAACTCGGAATGTCTTCGGCGGTAGCCACACTGGAACTCGAACTGATCGATACGCACTGTGCATCCACCTATATAGCTGCAGTGCTTGCCTGTGGCGTAATGAGTGCCACGTCACTGTAGGACGTTGACTACGGTCNGTGAACACGGTAATGAACCTTCGGGTTCCATAAAATGCTGGGAAATTCTTGAGTAGCCGCAGATTTGGCTTCTCCTCAAGAAGGGCTCGGCTCCATAAGTAACTAAGTAAGTATAGCGTCAGAGATAAATTGTCGATATGTGCAACTGGTTCCATATCGATCTTCAGAGAGATCGATAACATTTAGACGATAGTTTAGTCTTGAATTATTTAAGTGGAACAATCGAGNTTATCGTATGGAGTGCAACAGGATGCTTAAATATAATATTGAATTATTTAAGTGGAACAATCGATCGCAACAATCATTGTCATGTGATCCGTGGTTTCGAACAGGAATCCATGGTAGTGATCAACCTCTACAGTGTATTCCAAGACCAGGAACACTGGGGCGATCCTGAGGTCTTCAGACCTGAACGATTTCTGGACTCAGACGGCCATTTCGTTAAAGATGACTGGATAATTCCGTTTGGTGTTGGGAAAAGAATGTGCATTGGCGAGGTCTTGACACGCAACACTATTTTCTTATTCTTCACATCACTTCTTCAAGAGTTCTGGTTCAGCGTGCCCGAAGAAGATCCCGAGCCATCACTTGTCCCTCTCTCAGGGTTTACTATTGCTCCTAGGTCATTCAGAGTAAAAGCTACGAAACGAACATGAATCAAGTACTCACATGAATGTAACTGTGGGTCTTGTATTGTGCAGAGTCGCGCACGACTCCAGAACAGTCTGTAACAGTAACAGTTAAATATGTATTTGATTAAATCAGCATTAAATGTGCAGTTCTTCCTTTTAATTTGTTTTCTCACTTTTCTTTTGCATATGCCTACTATTCGCTCCTACCTTACTTTTATTATATTTACTGTTTACTTTGTTATAACAATATTGTGACGCATCGACCTACTGCTAAGCAACGGCTCGAAAAACACATTCCCGCGGAGACAAATTTTTGGTAAACAGCCCGTTGCTAGGTAATGCGTAGAACAATACGCTACAGTGAAGGACATCCATTGATAAATAACGGATAAATAAACACCCATTCTTGACAACAGGAACCGTGCTTTTTATTGGTCCGCCTCGAGACTGTATAAGCAGTACAGAACAGTATCCCGTATGGAGGCGGGGTCGAATACCTCCACTTTAGCCCTGTGTTTCGTAGGAGACGAAAAGGAAACCTAGTGCCTTGGGGTATAACCGGGGGCCACCCTGTTCCGGGGGCATATAAATACAGATACCTGGCCCTCCAGGCTGGGGGAGTCTCGAATCTGAGACTGTAAAACGTAGTCATGAGCCACGCAGGACTCGGAACTGAGAATGACTGCGCTGGCGAGGCCCAGAAGCAATTGTAAACGACAGACCCATCCTGTCGTCAGAGAGGATGTTGCATAAGGGCTATAACCGTACGTATTCAGTATGAAAATAAAATTACTAGTCGTGTGCCTCAAGGGGCCTGACGCCAAGAGGAACTGATTGGCGCTAAACCGCCAGCCGTAAAGTAACTTTCTCTCTCTCTCAAATCAGAACGGAGTACTGGAGTAATTCAGTTCAGTTGGAAGTGAGAAGAGTTCCCGCTTAGTGTCCAGTCGGAGAAGATGACAGTGNGTTACAAGTTCCCGCTTAGTGTCCAGTAGGAGAACATGACAGTGTCATGTTTGTTGTGATTTGTGAACTGTTGTAACCTGTCGTATGAAGGTCCAATAAATTCCATCATCGAATCCAAAACCCTTCTTATTAGTCACGCAAAACCCGGGTACGTGACTTTGATTGCGAAGCTGAATCCAAAATAGTTCACTCGATGTAGCGATCAGGCTACGCGCTGTACAACCAAAGGAACTGGCATTCGACTACAGTCAGGGACAAGATATTTTCTCCCCTCTACAGTGTTCAGACTGGCTCTAAGGAGCGCCCAGCCTCATGCTCAATGTGTATTGGGGAAAGCAGCAAGTCTGAAGGTGGCTAGTCCAGTGTAGTGCCAACGTTGTAAACGTGAGGGAAGCTATACTTCATCTCTTTGTAGGTTCTCATGGTATGACCTTCGTTAAGCTCCGGGCCAATCTTATCTTTAATGGTATTTACCTTTTTGAGACAGTCCTCATGACGCTGATGATATAACCAGTACAAAGATATATTTATACCACGAGTTATAAGGATGATTAACAGAATATTATTTAATTAAGAAAAACGTAAAGCATGCGATAGAACAATGGCTCAAGCGGTAATTCTTCTGGTTTGTTTTCGGGAAGTACCAGGTTTGAATCTCAGCCAGGACGCTAGATGAACTGAAATAAGATTTATACGAATTTACTCAGTATCTCCGAGGCCGGGATAGCTCCGTCGGTAACAACAGGTTGGATGGGCTGAACTCGATTCCTGGCAGGGGCAAGAAATTTGTAACTTTTCCACAGAGTGTAGAGTGACTCGCGGTAGCGTAGTTGGTTGAGGCACTATGGTACAAGCAGGAAGGTCGCGGGATCGTATCCCGATGAGGTGTTTTTTTTTATTTAACTAATCCTTCCAGCCCCATTATGGCCCTGGGGTCGAATCGGACTCTAACAGAAATTAATACCAGGAATATTCTTGGGGGTAAAGGGCGGCAGGCCCGTAAGGCTGACAACCTTACCGCCATCTATGAGCCGATTGTCTAGAAAATGTGGGAGCCTCAACATCTCACAACCCTATGGGCTCTATGGCCTGTTACAGGGATACCTTTACTTTTTTTTTGTTTTAAAAGAAAGAAAAATTCAGTTAAAACTACAATATAAATGTTTCCATTCCACTGAATGTGTTGTTACACAACTTAAATTTGTATCTGAATCATTAACATTTAAAAAGTGTTCAGACAAAATTGCTGGAAGTAACATAAGCACCAGGCCGCGCCATACCTCAAGCGGGTAGTCGCTGGCTTCCCACCTCGNGGTCAAGTGGGATTTGTGGTGGACTAAGTGGCGCTGAGGAGGGTTTTCTCCGAGTGCTTCGGTTTCCCCTGCCCATCTTCATTCCACCAGATTCTCCATCATCATAATCTCCGGGCTCAGGTACAATAGACCAATCAGTGGCCGCCGTGCCGAGTGGACCTAGCTGGACTCCACCCCCCACTAAGCGAATTAAAAAAAAGCATAAGCACTACTAAGTTAACTGAGTAAAATACATGGTCCGGTGTGTGGAGAAAATCTCTGTTCCTGTCGGAAAATAAATTCCATTCATCCAGCCTGTTCCTAGTCACTTGACTGAGTGTTCTCGACTCACATTTACTGCTAGTAACTTTGATATATCCATGAAAGTGAGCCATTTCTTGCGTAATTACGTTACAATGAATTTCATACAGGAATAAACGAAGTATCTGTGGCGACAGCAAGCAAGCTCCAGACCAAGTTTATGCTCAGTGGTTTTTATTTTCTTACGATATCAGTGGCGCACAGAATTCTGTGATGTTTCCCCGCAGAACTACGGTATGTACAGTGAGTGATATCATTTAGTTATCAAGTAATTTGACTCAATAATCGACTCGAGCCAAAGTGAACGGAGAAGTTCGTGGAGGTAGGCCTAGGCCCACTGGGTCTGTAGTGTCAAGGAAAAAAAAATCGACTAGAGTCATCAATAATGTAATAATTACAGCCACTGAACAGGTGACTTGATTTGAATGGCCTAGTCATCTAATTGATTAAACGACTCGATTCACTGAATATCCAAGGTGTGAAGTGAAGTGAAGTGTTCATTCACTTGGTCATATCATTAATTGAGAGAGTGACTCGAGTCATCAGTAAATTAAACTATTATTAATGAAGCGATTTCAACATAAATTCAATATATCTCCAGGTTTGAACGATTACAGAACCGGACTACGGCTGTCCAGCACACAGCCCATCGCTATTCCGACTTAGCCATGCCGGCTCCTCGAGTCTCATGAATTATAATTTCCACCACTTTGCTTGCATAGAGTCTCACTTCCTTATTCCCATCGTTACATGAGGAATTAGCGGCCTCCGTAGTCTAGAGGTAACGTTCCCACCTCATGACTCGTGGTACGCGGGTTTAAACGCGGCGGAGGTCGTGGAATTTTTAAGGGCGGAACAATTCAGGGAACAAGTCCTCCGGGAGGGACTTTAAGCCGTGGGTCCCGTGTCGTAGCTTTACGGCACGTAGAAGAACCTCATGTCTCAAGGAGGCCTATGAGCCAAATTGAAGGACATTTCCCGCCAAACAGTAGTCTCTAACGCCTCTGATAGAGGGGGGAAGCATTATAGATACCGCCATCCAGTAGAGGCCGAACTCGCTGGCTCGGTCGGGACTGATGGTACGCACCAGTATCGGTAGGGTGTAGAGATTGGTAGAATATCATAGAGGGAAGCACAATAGATCAAACTGGTCGCGGTGCATGGGGAAACCCACCCTCTCCAATAACTAACTAACTAACTAACTACATCAGGAATTACTTATTTCGAAGTGACTCGAAGATTCGATAAATTCATTCACATCTCTGCACTGACTCGACACAGATGACTCATCGAGCACGTAGATATAGCAGTAACACTTCTATTCGGCTATCCTGAAGGAGGTTTTTCGCTGTAGTCTTCAGTCACTCCAGATTATGCAACGATCGTTTCCTTTTAAATCTTTTCCAATTTATTATTCAGCTGTCATCCTAATATTCCACTCTATTTGGGCTGAGATAATGGCTGCAACGTAAAATAAACACGTACTTTGGCACGAACAGAGTTAATTAAACACGCGTTTGGTTTCACATGGCGCACGCTCTACTGCGCCGATGTAACTGCGCAGCGCGTGTTATGTGAACCGACTAATGTTGCTACAGAAGAACTGGCAACAAGGCGGTGAAGGTCAATTAGTAATGGTTTGTCTGTAAGGTCGTAGACAACAGCAGGGAAGATTATTCTTGTACGTAAGTAAATATTCGAGTAATATGTCTGTATCTGAGAATATGCACCGTCATGATGCGGAACAAAGGTGGACGTCGGGGAGATCACTTGTTTTCGCTATCATTTCATGATGGAAGAAACGGCCGTATAGAGGTTCCGTTGAATTTTTTTTTTCGGTTTATTTACGAAAGCTTATATCAGTTCCGAACGCCTCTGTGGTCAAGCGGTCAGAGTTCCTGGCTACAGATCCAGATGTCCTGGGTTCGATTACCGGAGCTACCAAATTTCCTGAGAAGTAGTGGGTCTGGAACGGGGTCCACTCAGCCTCGTGAGGATAACTGAGTAGCTATTTCAAGGAAATAGCGGCTGCGGTCTAGAAAGCCGAAATTAACGGCTGTGGGGTTTCGTTGCGCTGACCACGCGACACCCTCTATCCGCTAAAGTTGGCACTAACTTCGCCGACAAGCGGCCGTCGGTGTAGTTCGCTTGAGGACTAAAGCCACGGAGTTTAGATTTTTATATCAGTTCCGTATGTTTAATATCGTCGAATGACGGAATAGTGAAGTGAGAAGTTTGTCAAAGGAATTGGTCGTGACCTGTTTCGGGGCACAAACGTAGAACGAGTTGGAGGGGCTGAAGAAGATTACAAAACCTCCCGAAAAGCTACTCCTTCTCCGTGTTGAAATTCCCCCTGAATGCGCAGGAAGAATGAAGTCCACTGCTTATTAACGTCAACAATACAGAAACAAGATCTGTGAAGAATATTACGGTTACATGCCTTTAAATCGTTCGTGTTGTGTAGTGAAGTTAAAAAACATGTGAACAAGATGTTACGTAATAAATAAAGAAAGCACAAACAGACCACTATGACGTGTGCAACAGAATAAACATAAAATGTTTTACTTTGGCTTGTAGTCCTTATCAGAAGCACGAGAACATTAGGAATGAAAGAAAAAAAGTGAAGAAAATATTAGTATGCTCAGGGAAGCATCACACGCAGCATGAATTACATTGATCATTAATATCACAAACATACAAAAAGGTTAGTCATCTAACGCTGAATATTATTCATTTGCCTAGAAGTGACTGTATAATAAAGGGAAACTTGTCTGGTGAAAATTAGGCAAGGCGCCATATTTATGTTACGCAGGGCATTCATTTTGTATTTTTCCGGTGAGCCCACGTTTATGTTTTACGTACTTCCAAACTGTTTGTGAACACTGATTTCGAGGAGCATGTTCTGTGGCACATTTCAAGAAAGAATATTCACACTGTGGATGACCAGGTACTCCTTTAGTATCTGCCAATACACACCAATTGTGATGGATTAGCTCTGAGGCTGTTTAGCGACACTATTTCAGATGTGTAGGTTATGCAGTGTCGAATTAAGTTAGAATATAAGCTTTAGTGGTGGGTGACTAAGGGCCTGGAAGGCTGCGCCATAGCTCAAGCGGTTGGTCGCTGCAAGGTTCTGACGATGCTGTATAACACACAGAGATACTGGGTTTTCGGACTTTGTCCATCGTCCGGATTCTAAGTAACTAAGGAAAAAAAAACAGTGATTGAGGCCAGATCTTTTTAAGGGACCCAACAGAGTAGGTGTCTTCCCTCACCTGAGGACGGAAACAGATCCAGTTTCCGAAACGTTGTGCTTTTTCGTAGTTATTTAGAATCCGGACGATGGATGAAGTCCGAAACCCCAGTATCTCTGGGGGTTAGTCGCTAGCTTCCCACCGTGGCGGCCCGGGTTCGGTCCCGGGTGTGGTCAAGTGGGATTTGTGGTGGACAAAGTGGCGCTGGGCCGGGGTTCCTCCGAGTACTTCGGTTTCCTCTGTCAATCTTCATTCCACCAAATACTCCATCATCATAATCACCCAGGGTAGGCTACAATAGGCCAATCAATGGCCGCTGTGTCGAGTGAACCCAGTTGGACATGTCATCTGTAAGGTGGGCCGCATACCGGCATGCGTCAAGACATGTAACAGTCAAGACATGATGTCTGAGGCATGACGCAAAGAAAATGGCACAGTTGAACCGAATGAGATTATGAAAACCATCGCACATCGGTCTGAATCATGATGCTGACGAATCACGAATGAAGCAAGACTGCGTCTTTTGTCTCATATCTTGATGCTTGTCTTGAAGGCAGTTGGTGTGCGGCCGCCCGTACTTCACCTCGCTATCTGCTACAGCAGTCTGCTCGGTAATTGTGGTAGTGACACTCTAAGACAGATTGGGAATAGTTTCAGTTGAGCTAAGTTATATTTTAAGGGGGGCTTTTACCATTTTGTTTTACTACTAAGGCTTGAAAATGTATGCATTCTGTTGGAGGAACATATCGATTTATTTTCAGGATGGCTTATCTCATCGCAGTAGTTGCCTTTCTCGCAGTCGTCTTCTATTTATGGATGAAAACGAAGCCTAAGAATTTCCCTCCAGGTAAGATATTGTCACGTGTCCTGGTAAAGCGACAGTATATAATGAGCTTCGGATTTGATAGCTCGATTTATTGGGTAATTTCACACGTCGTTACTACAACTCGTTATTACACTTTCACGATTGCTGTATCTATGACACGCAACGATTATAACACTCTCAAGGTCAACACATCAACCACTGAACTGCCTTGAACGACGTCTTCGTGACGAATCCTCTGGAACAGTCAAAGTCACATTGCGACTGACGGTCAGTCAGTCTGTCTGTCTTGGTGTCGAGCCCCGATTGGGGCTCATGACCAGATTTTTTCCCCCTTTATATGAAAGTTACTGTCCTGTTCATTTGGGGCGCCCTCTCTGACGAGAGGTTGGGTCTTTCATTTGTCAGTCATAGTCCGTATTAGTAAGTCCATTGTCAGTATTTACATATGTTTACAAATTTAATCTTAATTCCTATTTCTATGTACAATATATACAAGGCCTCTGTCAATCCAGGCTCAGAAGAGCAGATTTTGCCCTATTTCTAGTAGTATCCGCTACCACAGTAGTCTAGTCACTTGAACGGTCGTATGCCTGACCGCCGCCAAGTTTAAGCCTCTTATACTTTCTGTGCCGGTCTTCGAACAGTCTTCACTGCTTGTTACATAGGCTCGGTACGGACCACACAGAAAACACGGTCTCTTTTCTGACGAAACTTGTATACTGCTCATTGCCTAGCAATGGAAAGCTGTTTCATATTTTGGCCAAGAATTTTTCTTCGCGGAAATTTGTTTCCTAGCTGTTCCCTAGAACCGGATACACATAAAAGTATTTTCACTAACAAATTTTCTAATGCTTAACACTGAAAATCTTTCAGGCAATTTAGAAGGGAAATATGAACAATGTGCCGGTCACGGTAGCCAAGCGGTCTAAGGCATGTACTGTCTTCGCTCGCTTGGAAACCGGGATCGTGAGTTCGAATCCCACTCGGGGTATGGATGTTTAGTTTGTGTGTGTGCGTTTTTCTGTGTTTGTGTACAGGTAGAGGCCTTTCGACGAGCTGATCACCCGCCCAAGGAGTCCTACCGAATGTGTAAGATCTAGAAAAACCGAAGTGAACGGAGAATTTCATGGAGGTAGGCCTAGGCCCACTGGGGCTATAGTGCCAAGGAAAAAAAATATATGAACAATGTATATGGGCCTAAGCTTCATTGCCTCAGTAGTCCGTCTGTTAGTCCAGATGCAACAGCGCCAAAAGGGCGTGACCGATAGCGAGAACTTTCAGTTTGATCAACCAGCAATTAATTTTGTCGAGGCGTTTTGATTACCAACATAACAGTCTACTGGGATGTGACGCCATGCAGTTTGGTAAATAGGCGATTCGAAATCATTGGTACGTATCCACTGAGCTACATGACGCCACTAATTCAGATAATCAGCGCCATGGGAGACACAAATCTCAGTTTGATTGAGTTTGGTTAAGTTCAAGGATCTCTTTGATCTTTGCCTATACATGTCCTTAAAGTTCCCTGAGAGTGTGTGCGCGCGTTTATTTTATGGTGCTGTGTCAAAATTGTATAGCTAAGGGGGGATACTTCGCACTGCAGAAGAAAGAATTTGTTTTGTCTGCAGCCACTGAACTCGCGTTTAATATGTACGGAGGAAACTCTATACTGCACCTCTATCAAACACTTTGTCACGCATAATCAGAGATATGGCAGACATGCTGAAGAACGTCTTGTTTGTATAGACAAGAACAAACACTGAGTGACCCGCTCATACGTTAGTGCTCTAAAATAAATAGAGGCTCACCAAATAGCCCTAATACAAAATCTATCTTACAGTTCAATGTGCCGTCTTCTTACAATTTCGTATATACACGTACATTTCTTCTTTAAATACAACTTACTGTCTAGTCTCCCATCTTCTTCACTGCAACACTTCATCATGGCCGTATGCTCCAGAAACATGTAGTGAAGAAGAATGCGGGTAGACAATAAGTTGCATTTGAGACGGAAATTACAGCATTAATGCAACAGGATGCTTAAATACAATATATATATGGCACGCGGTAGCGTAGTTGGTTGAGGCACTATGCTACAAGCCGGAAAGTCGCGGGTTCAAGTCCCGGTGAGGTAATTGGATTTTTTTCAATTGACCTAATACTTCCAGCCGCACTATGGCCCTGAGGTCAACTCAGCCTCTAACAGAAGTGAGTACCAGGAATTAATTAAATAATTTTCGTGGGGAGTAAAACACGGCCGGCGCGTAAGGCTGACAACGTTACCGCCATCTTTGAGCCGAATGTCTAGATAATGTGGGACCCTCAACGTCTCAAAACCCTATGGGCCTTCAAGGCCTGTTACAGGGATAGCTTTACTTTTTTTACTTTATATATATATATATAAGGTGGGCCTCTCTTTCAGTTATCGCGGTTTCATGATACTCTTTTGTCATGTTACTATGCATTGCGGGAGTAACATGGCACTACAGAATTTGCTACGATTCATTCTGTCGAATGGTCTTTCATAACCAGCAAATACTAAAACTATTGGGAGGTTTTGTTCTTCCTATTTCAATAAGTTGAATCATTATAAATATACAATTGATGCAAGAGCGATATCTTAGAAAGCCAATGTTAATGATACTTTAGTAAATAGTGTGTATAAGAAGAACCCCTTTGCGCTGTAAGTAGAAGGGATGACTTGTATCGCAGCCATGCCAACTCTTCCTACATACATCAGGTGTAAACTGGAGGGATTGCTCGAAGATATGTGGCTCTGCCATAAAGAACAACATAGAATAACTTTTTCAGGTACCGGATGAGAATTTAAAGGAATACAGGGTTATTCATAAGCCCGTGAAACATTTTGAAAATTTACAATAAATAAACTACGCAATGGATACCAAATTTTATTACATTGAAATTGAGATAAACTCACCAAGTTTTTTTTACATAGTTCACAGATGCTCAATGTGTCCTCCCTTGCTTATACGGCAGACATCTATGTGATAATCAATTTCATCCCACACCCGTGTCAGCATATCACGGTTGACCAGAGCCACAGCAGAGGTGATACGGTTGCGAAGATCCCTAAGATTAGCAGGCAATAGCGGCACAAAGACAGTATTCCTCACAAACCCCCCCCCNCCCCCCCAGAAGAAAAAGTCACACGGGGTTAAATATGAGCTTAAAAATTTGGAGAGATTCATTCTCTATCGGCGTAAGAATTACCATGATCCTATGCACAGTTTATGTGTTGTGAATTTTTAAAATGTTTCACGCACTTGTGAATAACCCTGTATTATAGGCCTGCTGATTGGCAACGTTGAACTGAGCTGTGCTTTATGCATTTACATTGCAGGGGTAACTGCAAAACGATACAGTGGATTATGGGGAAGCCGAGATTGAATGTTCCATGGCCCGTCTTTTTGTGGCGAAACAAGCAGTTACTGGTGGAAACAAATGTAACGTAGTTCTCACACCTTCATTTCAATTCGAGACCTCGAGACTACAATCGCAAGCTCGCTGTGCTCAGAGTGTGTCTAGCAGTACAGTACTCGCAAATAACATGCACAACGGCAACGTTTCTGGGCCAATAGTGACAACACTGTTTTACTGACAGATAAAATCAACACAGTGATTAATAAATTTTACTTATTTGTCGGTTTTTTAGAAAGAGATAAATTCAACCAATTTCCAGCATTGAAATGTTTTCTTTCTGAAGATGATTTGGTCCTCGGTAAACAACACATATTGTCATTTGTTAGATTGACTTTCGACGAGGTTTTGGATTGGACATTCGATTTGTTGACAACTTACAGGTCGTAACTACAAATCACTGCAACAATCTCATTGAATTACACATTCCAAATTTCATTGCAACTACAGCACGCATTAAATCTTCTCAGTCTTCACTAGACGTTTCCTGGTAACGGATTTCAACACTGAACGCTTACGTCCTTACCGTCTATTACATATCCCACGACTGAAGTAAGTCCTGAACTTGTCCTGTTGATAACCTCTCAGCGTGGACTACGCAGAAAACACAGCTCTTCTATTGTCAGGGTACAACTGTTGCTGAGAGGCGTATTTACCGCGCCGTTGTAGCAATTTTCGCGGCGTGGACTACAAAAAAACATCGCTTCCAGCAGTTCCTCTGTTGTTGGGTGTTGATTCGTTGCCGTGGGAACCTGTTTCTTTGCGATCGTTAGCTAATAACGGGTCTACACGCTACAATATATTTAGCACGGAGAAACAATTTGAAAATCACTTTCCACCCGCAACAGAACCAAACAGTTGGATAGATAATACTTTTTATATTGAAATGATGGAGCCGTCCTCTATTCTGTCCATCAAATTACATGAGTGCTTGCCGGAGTTTTCATCTCACGGAACATTATGCTCAGAATCTAAAATCTGTTCCCTAATTGAGTTTTGGATTAAAAAAAGTAGAGAGAGTACCCAAATGTTGCAGTCAGGGCAGTGCATTTTCTGATGCTGTGTTACGGCGTACGTGCGTGAGGCTGGGTGTTCGTGTCTTGGCGGCCGCAAGTTCAAAAGCAAGAGCAGCATGAATACTCAATTTTACCTGAGACTCAAGGAGACACGTGGTACACCGACCATCGAAGAGCTTTGTTAACACAACGATCATGTTATCAATATTGATCTTTAATAATATTTTTTTGCTTTATTATTTGTTATTTTATTGTGTTAATATTTTATTTTCCTACAGGTTTTTAAACGCTTTAGCATCCGTAACAAAGCGAACAGCAGACAGGGAAATCATTAATTGATCTGCCAGAGCGTCAGAAATATATACGTGGTGTGGCAGAAACAGTTTGCCAACCATTGATCTACACTCAAGTTTAGTACTAGTTGCAGTATGACTTGCTTTTCGTGTTCTGAGATTTGTAACGACAAGTGGAATTTCATCAGAAAGTCAGTACTATGGTATGAGGGACCTGCGGGCAGATCAGTTAATTAATGGCGCTTAAGACTGTACACATTAATTTGCCTGCTTAAATAATCGACATGACAATCTTAGCTTGAATCTATAAAATAAAACACAACATTTTTTATTCTTGTAAAATTCAGTCTAAACGCATTGAAACTGCTCATTCGGTTTTGAAAAACTGCGGATTCTTAACTGTACGAGTTTAGGGCGGTCTTTTCCGCACGGAATCGTACTAAATGTTATGGTCTGTAAAGAGGTGTTTGGGTTATTACCGTGTCAGCCGCAATAGAAGGTGACTCCCTGTTTCGCCAAAGAGAAAACCGGAAAGAAAAACTCTTTTGACGAAAATGTTTGTTACATTTAGGTCTGAGGGTTGTAACCAAAGAGCAGTAAACACTGTACTGTTAAGAATCAACAAGTTCCTAATTTAATATCTTAAGTTTAATTCTAGTTGTATTAATATCACTGAAATTATCATTTTCAAGACAAGGAGGATGAGATGGGCAGGGTATGTAGCAGGAAAATGGTGAAGAGGAATGCATATAGGATCTTGGTAGGAAACCAGAAGGAAAGAGACCACTAGGAAGACCAAGAGATAGGTGGGTGGACAATATTAAAATGGATCTTGAATGTATAAGGGGCAGGCCTTCTCGGCCCTTGCACCGCGACCTACAGTAGTCTATTGTGCTTAAGATGGATCTTAACGAGATAGGATAGGATGTTATGGACTGGATCGATCTGGCTCAGGACAGGGACCAGTGGAGGGCTGTTGTGAACACGGTAATGAACCTTCTGGATCCATAAAATAGTAGGAAGTTCTTCAGCAGCTGCACAACTGGCGGCTTCTCAAGACGTGCTCAGCTCCATGATCGAGTGAGTGAGATTTAGCAATTGGAATTCTTCATAATCACCTTCCTCCTGTTCATTCTTAAGACCCCGAAAACATGGAGACACCTCTATTGTAACAAGCAGTATTCGGAAAAGAAACTGACCTTATACTCGGTCTAATATGGTAGTCACTAACTAGACAAAACCACGCAAGCATACATACATACATACATACATACCTAGTGAACATAACTACATTCCCCGCTCCCCCTCTTAACTGAAACGTTATTTAAAATTCCGACGTTCCTGAATCGATGTGTTCTAGGTCCACCGCGTTTTCCTATCCTTGGATCAGTTCTGTATTTGCCTCGGAAGTACCCTCATGTCGTTATGAGTGGGAAGTGGGCCGAGAAGTACGGTCCTGTGGTGGGACTGATGTTTGGCTCGAGGAAAGCGTTGGCAGTGAGTGGACCGAAAACTGTTCTGGAAGTGTTACACAGAGATGAGTTCCAGGGACGCCCAGTTAATACCAGAGTGCAGAAGATGTTGTTTAACAAACGTCTTGGTAAGTGAACACAGCAATGGTGTGAATTCACTTCATTTATAAGGAACATATTTTATTTTTCCGTAAGTTATTGACGCTTATCAAAGAGGATGAGGTGGGCAGGGCATGTAGCACGAATGGGGGAGACGAGGAATTTATATAGGATATTGGTGGGAAAGCCAGAAGGAAAGAGGCCACTGGGAAAACCAAGGTGTAGGTGGGTGGACAATATTAAAATGGATTTTAAGAGAGATAAGATGGGATTGTATAAATTGGATTGATCTGGCTCAGGATAGGGACCAGTGGAGGGTTCTTGTGAACACGGTAATGAACATTCGGATTCCATAAAATGCTGGGAAATTCTTGAGTAGCTGCAGGAATGGCGGCTCCTCCAGAAGGACTCAGCTTCATGACTAAGTAAGTAAGTAAGTAAGTATCCTATACTCCGTGATTTTATCCCGCAAGCGAACTATACCGACCGAGCGACGCCCGCTTGTCGGCCAAGTTTAGTGCCAACTTTTGCGGATATAGGGTGCCGCGTGGTCAGCGCGACGAATTCCCACGGCCGTTAATTTTGGTTTTCTAGACCGGAAGTAAGTATCCTATGCTTAGGAGATTTAACAAAGCTCAGTAAATTGTAGAGATTTTGTGGAGCTGAATAAAAGTGAAGGACCCTCGCAAATACGGAGTAGATAACTACACGGAATACATCAGTTTCGACCCGTTTTATTACCCTACAGCCTCAGCCTTCATATCCCCTGTCCCTTTGAGGATTTCTAATCGGAATTTAGCATGAATGTCTTGTTCCCTGATCTGCGTCACGTATTCCACCCACTCAGTGGCCATGTTATTAACCTGCACACGTATCGGGTAAGCTACAGAAAGACCTCGCACTATGCTACAAGCCGGAAGGTTATGGGTTCGATTCCCAAAGAGGTCGTTAGATTCTTCATTTGACTAATCCTTCCAGCCGCAGTATGACCCCTGGGTTCGACTCAGCCTCTAACAGAAATGAGTACCAGGAGTCTTCCTGGGCGTAAAGGATGGCCGGCGAGTAAGGATGACAACCTCACTGCGATCTGTGAGCCGACTGTGTAGAAAATGTGGGAACCTCGACGTCTCACAGCTCTATGGGCCTCCACGGTCTGTTACAGGGATAGACAAACCTCTTCAAGAAGCTTTCATTTCATGCATTTTGTACGAAAACGCTGAAGAAGTCTTAATTTTGGATACCTTTCAATTTATTTTTGTGCATTGTGCAGACTCTGCTACGCTTTTCGAAACTAACTTTATTCTTCTGTTTAATTAAGAATCACGCCATGAAGGTCTATGGGGAGTGTAGCAATAGCTCCACGAATTCTTAACCTCGGCAGTGGTTGGAGATGAATAGTTAGTTTCTCGCTACGACCATTTTACTCCGGGGAAAAAAGCCCGTAATAAGCTACACTTATTGCACAAGAAGCTGAGTAGGCCCCAGATCCAGGCCGCACTAGGTGGTAAGGAGACAATGCTCTGCCCAACCGGGAATCGAACCCTGGTTCTCAGATCATCCAAGCGGCGGCCTATTAACAGTATTGACTGAGCCGCGCAGACTCTCACGACCATGCTTCGTGATCACATTAAAGTATATGAATTGATTTCAAATAGTTTATCAATCAAAATATTAATAGAATTAAAACTTGGATTGCCAATTTCTGTTCCAGGATTAATATTCACAGACGGTCCGTACTGGCAGGAACTGCGTCGCTTTACTCTGCGGCATTTGAGGGATTTCGGCTACGGAAGGACAAGCATGGAGAGCTTGATCATGCAGGAGGTTGATGACTTAATCAAGGAAATGCGCAGCAAAGACACTATTCAGGTAATGACACCACGGCGTGACGTCATCCGCTAGAGACGGGCTAGGCCTAATCGAATTCCAAAAGATCCAAGTTCCACAGCTTAAAGGAACTGCTGAACGTACACAGGTTTCAGGTCGTCTTATTAGATTACAAGACTTGAAATTGGGATTGAAATTGTTTATATGTAAGGAATTAATAACAACACATAAATCCTGCAAACAATATGTTAGAATGTGAAGTGGGTGGAGCTAGCACTGGATCCTGTACAATGTCGGTCTTTGATATTTGATGCTACCATATTAATTGTATTGCCGCGTGTTGCCTATGTAACGCGACAAGTAAATTCACACAGCTCTCGGATTTAGAGAATATATTTATTGACCGCTCACTTTTACATTTACAAGTACAATTATTCACAATCGTAATTAGTTTCAAACTGAAGACTGATTACTCTTCTAAGGTCAGCTACAAACTTCACTCGTCTCTTGTCGCAGTTCGACTCTTCTAACTTCCAGGCGGACTCGATAGGGAATCCCATCTCGAAGGGTTCATTCCGCTTGTAGCGCTGTAGCGGGGACGTTGGTCGTTGCGTAGGAAATCAACTCTGATCCCCTCAACCACTCCGGATTTCTGGCACTCCACAGTATTTATTGGTGTGCGTGCGTATACCGAACAAATTGTTAAAGACTTGTATTTGTGAGGTGTTTGGTTCGAATCTCGGCTGAAACAAAAGGTATCCTGACTGGAACTTTTCCTGGTTGTTCTCGGTCCTTCCAGATCGATTAACCCATGATCGATACTTTCCTGATCCCGTCTAATTCATCACTCACCCTGCCGTTGGACGCTCTACAGTCCATAACGTCTGGCAGCGTCACAGCATTTTCCGTACCTCATATGGCGAAGAATGGCAGTGAATAATGAATTGGAAGCGATGTGGAAGGAAGTGTTTCTAGTCTTAATTCGAGGTAATATCGTGGAATATGCCTGAAGAGATTAACAAAGCTGTCCGGATGGGCGGTCTCTACGCCGACATCTGAACCCAGAACCTTCGGAACAGGAAACAGCATTGCTTCTCACTCGACCGAAACGTTTCAGCCGTAATTTGCGAAGAATTGTGAAAGGTCATCAGATTAATTTTTTAAGAAGCAGAATATCTGTTTCTGTTATTTTGTAAATATCACAATAAACAATAATAATAACATCAGAGAACACAGATGTGATTAGAAATGTATGGAAAGAGGATTTAAATCGCATCCAGAACTTTCACAGCAATACTTAACAGGTCGTTTTAACAGCCATGAATAACAAAGTAAATGCTGATAAGAGCATGGCGTAAGTATTGCATCTTTTCATGTTCTCTGATAGATCCGCGATAGGAAAGAGGAAACGGAAAGGAAATAGAAAATAAGAGGAAAGTTACATTTACGTATATGTTATTAAACGTGAAAGGTAAAGCTATCCCTGTAACAGGAGACCCATAGGGTTGTGAGATATTGAGGTTCCAACATTTTCTAGACAATCGGCTCACAGATGGCGATGAGGTTGTTAGCCTTACGCGCCGGCCGCCTTTTAACACCCAGGAAAAACCTGGTACTCATTTCCTTTAGAGGCTGAGTCGATCCCAGGACCATAGTGCGGCTGGAAGAATAAGGTACATTGAAAAAATCCACCTGATCAGTACGATTTTCCGGCTTGTAGCATAGTGCCTCAACCAACTACGCTACCGCGTCACCCCACTTGTATGTTATTACGTGTTGAGAGTCTGAGGCTAAGGATGAGGGAATTCAGTTAGTGGTTAACATAGGATCCCGATGAAATGGTGTCTGGTTATAATTTCGCCAAGTTTCATACGCTAAATGAAATGAAGATTGAAGCGATATAAGTTTTACGAAATATCTCTACATGTTTCCAAGTATGTGCAAATTAAAATAAACTTAAGGCTTCCTTTCAGATCACCAGAAGCGGGAAGAACATCTTCCAGTGCACTTAATGACTATTTTTTTGGCATGCAGGTTCATGCTCTGTTCAGGATACCCGCGCTGAACATTCTGTGGGCCATGATGTCAGGTACCCGGTACTCAAGGGACGACGAAGAGCTGCAGACTATTCTCCAGGGCCTGGATAAAATATTTCGCTCTGGAACCCAATCAGGAAGGTTCTTGGATGTGTTTCCTGTCTTGAGACGCATTCTTCCTGAGAGTAGAACATACAAACACTTTGTGGATATAATCAACAACCTGCTGAATTTTGTAAAAGTATGTTCCAATAGAAACTTATGTTCAATAATAATTATAACAATAATAATAATAGCAACACTGGTGGTAATGGTGACCGCCTCTGTGATCTAATGGTCAGCTTTTCTGGCTACAGATCCAGAGGTCCGGGTTCGATTTCCGGCGCTACCAGATTTTTTCTGAGAAGTAGTGGGTCTTGAACGGGATCTACTCAGCTTCGTGATGATAAATGAAGAGTTATTTCAAGGAAATAGCGGCTCCGGCCAAGAAAACCGAGACTAACGGCCGTGAGGATTCGTTGCGCTGACCACGCGACACCCTCTGTCCGCTAAAGTTGGCACTAACTTCGCTGACAAGCGGCGGTCCTTGCGGACTAAAAGGAGGAATTTGTTGTTTTGTTTTTGGTAGTAATGATGGTGGTGGTGGTAGTGGTAGTAGTAGTAACAACAGCANCCAATATATCAGTGTGTTATACACCACCGTCAGAATCCTATAGTAACTAGTGAAAACAATGGTTGGTATGATGGTAATAAGAATAATATTCCTAGTGATTGCTCTTCAAATATTGCGGACCAGTAAATTTCAAGCAACAGTAAAATGGGTCTACATGACCCATGATCCAATTCAGTCCAATGCACGTAAATATACACATAGTCAACATAACTGGCTTCCGTAATATTTTCCAAATTGAATTTTCCTATTCATTTTGAAATATATTCCTTTGTTATGTTAGAAGTTTTTAAAGCTGTGACTACGGACTTCAGGATCGCTGCCTCCGAACTACGCGGTGTGAGAACCAAGAAGAACGCGCATTTAATGCATTCCTTTTTACAGTTTTTCCACTACAACAAACACTTCGCTAACAGTCATTACGAACTAGGAGCATCAATGATTTAAGGCTGATGAAGATTATTATCATCCAGGAAATGAGGTCGTGTAGTCTGGTAGTTTTATACAAAGGTTTTCGATGAACGTCAATAAACATATAACAGAATAAATGTTTCCATGTCTCAGAAGAGGGACATCTTCAGAGTAAGAGCAGACTGAATTCGCGGAATGCTTCGGAAATTTGCCTTCCATCCGGTACCTGAAAACGTAGAAGGTTATCAACGTTTCGAAGGAACCTGCTGCTAAAATATTCTACCCCGAAGATGGAGGCAGCAGCTTCCTTCGAAACGTTGGTAACTTTGTATCAGAGTATACGGCCTTTGACAAAGGGAGAGAGTAGGAGGAAGTTGGATCGTGAGAAGCTTCATGATTTGTACTTCTCACAGAAGATTTTAACGATAGTCACGGGATATGAAAAATAATTATTAATACGTATTTCAAAAACCTGAAGCGAAGAGACCACTTGTGAGATCTAGTCATAGATGGGAGAAAAAATAAAAAGATATCTTCTGGGGTATAACGTCACGCAGTCCGTTGAAATTCGCTTGACGTTTCGGAGGAACATTTCGTCTACATCTTCAGATTAGAACAATAAGCCAAAGAAGAAATCAGAATGAAGAATATAGCAAGCTCTGCTTTATCTTTCGGCCCTGAAGATGAAGGCGACATGTTCCTCCGAAACGTGTGACTTTGAACGGCGTTGTATCCCAGTAGATAGAACTCTTTTTAAGCACCCCTCTGAGAACTTCAAGATCTAAAATATTAAAATGATTCTGAAGAAATGGTTTGGGATTTTGTGGTCTGCTTTCGTTTGGATGAGGACAGGATTTAGTTGCAAGATTTTGTGAAGACAGTACTGAACATTCGGGTTCCATAAAAGGCGGGGAGTGTTTTGACTAGCTGCGCGACTATAGGCTTTCAGCATTGCCTCTGCTCCATGTTTTAGTTAACCAATATATGCTTTACAAAGAGGGTGAACAGGGACCAGAGAAACGACATTTGTCCTTGACTGAAACTGTCAACATTGAAAACATGGAGTGCATATACGAGGCAGAGTGTTTTGGAATATTTAGGCCCATCTCGTTCAGGGGGAGGGGGAAGGCTAAACTCTCTAAAGCCGGAAGTTAATTGAACTAATACTTAAATTTCAGTTACTATCTCACAGGAAATACCACCTAAATTACAAAGAAAAGTTAATTTTGATTAAAAATACTTTGCTACTTATTCCGAGAGTATTACTGATTTCTTTATGTTAAATCAGGTGGTAACTACAGTAACCATTGTGCTTTGAAGGGCTAATATTCATATAGATAAGATTCTTGATATACAGTCTTGACACTAATGTTGCAGTACTACACTAACTGAAATTAAGGGGAGTGAACTTGAACTAAAACATTAACTGAGTGTTCTTCTGTTACAGAGAACAGTGAGAGAACATGAGCAAAACCTGGACGAGAATAATCCCAGAGATTTCATTGATACATATTTAATTCAAATGAGGAAGCAAAAGACCAATGCAGAGTCCATTTTTACAGGTATTTAGATAAATGTACGAGTTAAAGTTTTAACTAATTTTTTATATTCATATTGCAACATTATTATGGAACTATTAATTTCGGTTAAGACAACAGGTTAACATATAAATCCTTTGAAGCACAAAGAGAGAGAGAGAGAGGGGGAATAGAGCGTGGAGGGAGGGTGTAGTGAGAGACACTATATTTGGGTGGGGGGGGACAAAAAATTTTCGGCTTGGACTTTATAGGCCAACAAAAACAAACTCTGTGGCCTGTAGTCAGCAAGCGAACTATATCGACCGAGCGACCGCCGCTTGTCGACGAAGTTAGTTCCACCTCTAGCGGATAGAGGGTGTCACGTAGTCAGCGCAACGGATCCCGACGGTCGTTAATTTCGGTTGTCTAAACCGGAGCCGCTAATTCCTTGAAATAGCTCCTTAATTATCCTCATGAGGCTGAGTGGACTCCGTTCCAGACCCACTACTTGTCAGAAAAATCTGGTAGCGCCGGGAATCGAACACGGACCTCTGGATCTGTAGCCAGAAACTCTGTCCACTAGACCACAGAGGCGGTAAGCTTTACAGGCCTAAGATATCCTAAATAATATTTACAAATACAGTCCCTATGGCACTGAAAACATATTGCGTCTACATTACAAAGGCTAGCCGATTAATGCTTTCTAAGGAAACGTTAGCTGTTATAGCGAGAATCATAAGCAGGGCCCGGATTTTGATGACCTGAAAATATTTAAAAAATGACCGAAAAATCCAGAAAAATGACCTAAAGGAGAAAAGAAAGGACACTTCGCTTCCATGTTATTCACGTTTCAGAAAACACATGAAGAAAAATTCCCTAAAATGGCCAAAAACGACAAGAAATACCCTTAAAAGTTCAAAAATTTAGCAGAAATTTACCCCCAAAATGAAAAAGTGACCTTAAACCTAAAAATGTAAAAAAATGACAAAAATTACCTATAATATTTACATATCTGTAACCAGCAGCTCATATCCGAGATTTATATAATTAAGAGCATCGCATAGGATACAAGGAAAACAAAATGACATGTCATCAAAATCCGGGCCCTGATCACAAGAGACTCATAAATACGGTACACTCTGCTGAAGCAACTGAGCTACGAACGCCGAGTAGGAAACAGTGCATTTCCGAGACGCTTTCCCTTATTTCCTTTATTCCCTCTCCGTTTGTCCCTCGGGCTTACGTGCGTCGCTTTCCAGAGGCTCTTCTAGTTCATTCGTGTCTTGGGCTTCATCAGTTCCGTTAGTCGGCCTGGCCGGGTGGCCGGAGTCTCCATTTTGAGCCCTGTGCGTCACAACCGGGGCAACCAAGTCGGTTCTGTACGGCAGTCCTAAGACAAGAGTCAGTCAAGGCTTAATGTGTGCCGTTGGTACGGGCATGTTTCGAATGTCTAACTCAGTGAGACTGTTGTAATTACGTGTACTTAGGAGTTGTGTGTATAAGTGGTCAATAGGTGCAACATCCAATAAAAATCCCACGTATAGTCACACATACACGTGACAATATTTTGACTCTACCAAATTTTGTCTACGATGCAACGTATGGGAGGAAACGGGGGGTGAGGGACAGATCCATAGGCGAACGCTGGACATTATACAGTGTGGATGCACGCGGTAGGGTAATTGGTTGAGGCACTATGCTACAAGTCGGAAGGTCGTGGAATCCAATCCCGATGAGGTGAATTTTTTTCAATTTACCTAATCCTTCCAGCTGCACTATGGCCCTGGGGTCGACTCAGCCTCTAACAGAAATGAGTACCAGGAATCTTCCTTTGGGGGGCAAAGGGCGGCCTTCGTGTAAAGGCGCGTCCACATTACCGTGTTCGTGCGTCAGAAGTTTACTGCTGCCGGAAAATCGGGATCTGGAGCTGATATCTGTTGTGAAGAAATGCGAAATATTTGTATGCAAATCCATTTGGGCGTCCACTTCGTCAGCTCCAGATCCTGATTTTCCGGCGGCAGTAAACTTCTGACGCACGAGCACGATAATGTGGGCGGGCCTTAAGGCTGACAACCTCACCGCCAACTGTGAGCCGACTGTCTAGAGAAAATGTGGGAGCCTCGACCTTTCACAACCTTATGTGCCTCCACGGTCTGTTACAGGGATAACTTTAGCTTTACCACGTATGTACGAGTATACTCGAATTGCATCTTCTTTCACTGAGACGATCCTAAGTAGCGTTCACTGGAGGAGGGGAAGTGCATAGGAATAGTCAGTGGTCCCCTCCCCTACCTCGCTCTCTCCACTTCAAAATTCGAAGTCTTTTATAAGAGTATTAGAATACATTGTACGTCTTATCTCTCTTTGCTTTAAAATAGAGTTAGAACATAACTGTGTTCTTAACACAGGGAAATGAACATTTCTAATACAGGGTGATTCATATAGAACCTGCCCGACGAAATGAGGTGTAATATAAAATATACCATACAGATATTAAAGTAATTTACACATATCTTATCTTGGGTTGTGTGCCGTGATCAGAGCAGGTGTTGAAAGTGTCCGCCATTTTCAAGTAGGCACTAGAAACATTCGCTGTTCAACAGTGTACTCCATGACTGTCGCCTGCGCACTGCAGACACGTTTCGGCATTGTCCTTGGCCTTGCAGCATAAGGGCTGCCACTTGCCTTATCATGCGCACACCATTCGACTCAGCACGGCCCACGGATTATTATGTCGTAATTGTGAGCGGTTATATGCATCACCTGTGGAGTTATTAGCAAATTCATCGGGCCGGTTCTATACGATTCACCCTGTATATCGAATGAAATGTGAGAGGGATGATGGAGGATGAACCGTAAACAAAAAGGGTAGAAACACGATCCGGGATATTGCAGTGAGAATAATAATTAGACTTCTGGTGAACGATTGGGCAATCGGTGTTCGAATCCCGACAGGGTCAAAAGATTTTCTCTTCTCCAAAGCCGCCAAACCGGCTCTGGGGTCCACACAGTCTAATATACAAAGAGTACTGGGGGCTCTTTTCCAGGGGTTAAATGGGCTGGACTTGAAGCTAACTAACTGCCAAGTTTGAAAATGCGCGCAGCGATACATTCACTTTCCCGTACGTGTTAATGCCATTGTGCTTAACAAGCACCTTTGTTATCTCAACATTTCTTCCGGAAGGATTGAGGAAGACAAGAACAGAGCGACCTGGCTGAGACTGGGCGATTGGTGAGGCGAATAATGCCAGCCTTTTTTATCCATTTGCTATTTCGAAACGAGGTACTCAAGGATTTCCCCCAGCACTCCCTAAATGCAAGGAATGCTCAGTCTCACTAGAAGATTCAATTAAGGCGCTCTTTAAGCCGTGTAAAAGCATGTTTCTTTTTTTAGTTCCTCCAAATTCGCATTCCTGTTTATTGCTGTTTATGGGAAGAAGGGCGGACTGTTACGTCTGTACTTGAGAGAGCTTACCAATCATTTATCTTAGGAGAATCATCTCTTTCAAGCTGCAGGTTTTCGCTGAGTAGACTGAGCCCCCAAATTAAAAGGATTTATATCAGGACTCTGCCAAAAGAACGAGGGACCTGTTAAAATTAAACAGAGATCAACTCAGATGGGTGGTAGGCTTACTTACTGGACCCTGCCACCTAAAAGGACACCTTTCCACACTGGGACTGTTAGAGGATCCAACTTGTGAGAGGTGCTTACAAGAAGATGAATCAGCCACACACATCTTACGTGATTGTGAGGCCATAGCTTACCTAAGATATCGCCACCTGGGTCAGTTCTTCATGGAACCAAGTGACTTTTATGACGCCCCCATAAATAAAGTCCGACATTTAATTCGAAGTGTAGGATTAGTTAGTTAGTTAGTTATTGGAGAGGGCGGGTTTCCCCATGCACCGCGACCAGTTTGATCTATTGTGCTTCCCTCTATGATATTCTACCAGTCTCTATACCCTACCGATATTGGTGCGTACCATCAGTCCCACCCAGCCAGCGAGACCGGCTCTACTAGCTGAGAGGTATCTATAATGCTTCCCCCATCTATCAGAGGCATTAGAGACTACTGTTGGGTGGGAAACGTCCTTGAATTTGGCTCAGTGACTTCCTTTGGAGATATGAGGTTCTTTTACGTGCCGTAAAGCTACGACACGGGACCCACGGCTTAAAGTCCCTCCCGGAGGACTTGTTCCCTGAATTTTTCCGCCCTTAAAAATTCCACGACCTCCGCCGCGTTTGAACCCGCGTACCACGAGTCATGAGGTGGGAACGTTACCTCTAGACTACGGAGGCCGCTAAGTGTAGGATTAATAAAGGGTCAATCCAAAGGGGAAGCACAATAGACCATTGAAGGTCGCAGTGCTAGGACAAGTTTTGTGGCTCACCCTCATACTCATACTCAAGCCCCCAAATTCAACAATTCTTACAGTCCCTGGAATGTGTGTTCGTATGTCTGTGTGTCACGGCATGTACAGTGTACCACTGCAGGATTATTATCGCTGGAACCCAGATATTGTCGTCATTATGCTGTTAAAGAGTAATTGCAGAGTACAAAAGTTGCTTGTTTGCAACAGAGGAAGGACTCATTGTGACCTGTCAAGACTTATTTAATGCCGGAGGGGATTCTGTGGACAACACGTTGGGTTTCTGTCTCCTCTACATGGTGCTTCATCCCCATGTTCAGAGTGCGGTTCAGAGAGAGCTGGATTCTGTTCTGGGTCGCGACAGGAGACCGACGATTGAAGACAAACACAGGTTAGTCTCTGAAAGAACTGTCTTCAGAATTATACCACAGAGGCACACGCTTTCCAGTCATCGACACTAAATTAAGGCAAGTAATTGGCTTCGTACTCTTTCCATTTTGACCCAGGGAAATTTTCCCAATACCTTTTGGATGGAGACTTAAGTGGGTCCTGTTTTAAGGTCTCATGGTTCCTAGAAGACGTTACATCCACGGGCCTTGACGATGTGTTTATTTCAGTAATTATTCAGGAAACGTTTGGCGCCGAAATTTATTTTCGCGTTTACAACAACAAATTAATATTTAACATACGAATTTTTGTAAGTATTATAATAAAGTATTTCATTTAGCTAGATATCCAGTGACAAAGCACCGCCTAATTCTACCTTCTGCTGCCCTTTATTGCGGATGGAGATTACTGAGCAGAGAAGAAAAGGGTTGTTTGTAAGACGTTGAGTGAACTGTCTCCGTCAGCCGACGATAACTGGTACTTCAGATGGGAGTTTCGGAATGGGGCTAAACCTTCGCATCCTAATTCATATAACACTGTCAAATGTTATAAAAAGCTGAGTTGCGCTTTTGTGTTGATATTACTATGGCGATTGGTGAAAGGAGAAAAAGATGGTTGGGCCACAAAGCACACACGGGGCGGCGAGACATACATACAAAATTTGGGGGAGGAACCTCACGGTTAGAGCCGTGGGGTGTGGGGATGTGAACTGAATTAAACTATCTCAGGCCAATGGTAGATTTTTGTGGACATGATACTGAAACTTCTGATTTCAGTGTACCCAGAAATATAGCGAAGAGATGAGAAAAATGCATCATGTACATCTTCTTAGGAGCAGAAAGCTAAAGAGAGGTATCGAAAAATATTTCTTTGTAAATAGGACCATCGAGCTTTGGAGCCACCTACTTGCAGACCCTTTAGGGACTCCCTCCTGTAAATCAAGTGATTTTAGGAAAAGAGTTAGGAAAGCGAAGTGAAGGTATAGGAGAAATCATCCGAAAAGTCAGTGAAGTGAAGTGGGATAAAGGGAAAGTCATGGTGAAATGTGGGAGCATCAGAACATGACGTTACACATTCCAGTACTATTAGTGTTTAGTGTGTAGTATACTTAATCTTTTATTAATATTAATTTATGTAATTGTAGTTGTAAGTGTATTTTCATTTTATTTACTGTGTGCTAGTGTGTCCATTGTTGTTTGTGTAGTAGTGTTCTGTGTTTTGTTTGAGTGTGGTGTGTATTTGCGTGTTGTATCTTATTGTAGTACCACTACCACTGGGAAAAAACACATTTGCAATTTAAATAAATAATAATAAGTATAATATTTCATATCTATCTATGTGTTGCTCTTTGCAGGTTACATTACGTGAATGCTGTCATAACGGAAGTGATGCGCATTAATCCTGTTGTAGCCATGGCTGTTCCACACCGTGTTGTCAAGGATACTACACTGAATGGCTATACAATTCCCAAGGTAAAGTCCTCGGGAGTTTTGGTGACTAATTTTTTACTGTGTAATGTCACCAGCTCAATCAAATAATTTTTTTGTTATTGGAGGACATGTATAGAACACACAGATTTTTTCCTACACCTTTGAGGCATTTATTTGGATGTTTAATTAATTTTATATTTGGGCATCCAGCGTTAAGTACTGCACCAATGGGAGTTAAGTGCTGTTTTCGAAGCCAAAATTTTAAATTTATTTCGAGCTCCTTGTATTTTATTCTTAACGAAATTTCCCACTCAGTTTTGACAGAACTTTTCTTATATAATAATTAAAGTAATTACTATGATATCATATCCAGGTGACCAATTTTCATGAAATGTGTTACCATACTAAATTTTTTGATATGACGTCCTAACAACGGTGACTATGAAGACCGCATGTAGTGCCGTGTAATCCCACAGAATTTTGCCGACTAATTGGAGGATCGTACTGCCTTCATGTTCAGCGAAGCCAAGCAGAAAGCCAGGAAAACACGCGGAAAGCAGAGATTTGTCTACTGCCTGCTTCTCGTTTAGTTTACTCTTCGCCTCTGAAGATGGAAGCAGTACTTTCCTCCGAANAGTTCACACCTTTCATATTGTAACGTGTCGGCAATCCAGAAGAGTCGCTTCTATGGAAACACTAGAATAGACCGTTACATAGGAAGTAACAATAGCGGCTATATTATATAGGCTATATTAAATATATAGGCTATATTAAAGGCATTGTCACGTGTATGAGTGTGACAACAGACGGGATTTGGATTGGTACCCAGATTTATTTAACGCTTAACCACACAACTCGTAACTGCAACTAATTATAACAGCCTCAGTGGTTTACACAGTCTAATGATCACTCTAACTGCAGAACATATAAAGTCTTCTATGCCTTCACTAGCCATTTCCTGGTAACGGATCCTAACAGTGTCCTTTGCTAACGTCCTTACGGTCTGGCGAATATCCCACAACTGACTCACTGCTCCAACTGTCTAACTCCCAGTCTGGCGCCCATCTCACACCAACCTTCCACGCTTCTCTTCACTGACTGACTGACTGCATCTCCCAATTTGCCAACTTATAATATCTCGACACAGACCTCGTAGAAAACACCAGTTTTCAGTGTTGTAGTTCAATTGGTTCCGTGGGAACATGTTTCTTTGCGAAGCCGTTACTCGGCAACGGTTCTTGTATATTTGCTTATCTTGCGATCGTTGCCCAGCAACTGGTGTACATGCTGCAATGTTTATACTTAAGTGCGGATGTACTCTATAATTTTATTCGAACTAGGAAATAGTATTTGGAAAGCCATATTATGCAATAGGTATGGTGGAAGAAATTAATTTCTCATGACGGAGAATGGATTATTATTGCATAAAGTGTGTTGTGTAAAATGATAGCCTCTGTTAGTCTGAAACTTGCGAGGAACGAAAAATTTGCAGGTTCCTTTGTACTCTTTTATAGATAGTTTTTGCTGCACATGGATGTCTTCAGTACACCTGGGTTCTGAGGAGGTGATTGACAGTCAGAGTTCCTGGCTACAGATCCTGAAGTCCCGGGTTCGATTCCCGGCGCTAAAAATTTTTCTGAGAAGTAGTGGGTCTGGAACTGGGTCCACTCATCCTCGTGAGGGTAACTGAGGAACTACTTGAATGGGAAAGTAGCGACTCCGGGCTAGAAAACCGAAATTAATGGCCGTGGGGATCCGTTGCGCTGACCACGTGACACTCTCTATCCGCTAAAGTTGGCACTAACTTGGGCGACAAGCGGCGGTCGCTCGGTCGGTATAGTTATCTTGCGGACTTAAGGCATGGAGGTTATTTTTGTTTATTGTAGAGCTACCTCACAGTTACAGTGTCAGTTCTTCAGCATTACAGAGCTCTAATCTTGGTACATGATGCACCCCCGTTTTCGCAAAAAAAGCCTGTGGAAACTGAGTCTTCTTTATGTCATTTTAATGACTGCACCATACTCACAATCTTCTTCCCATCGTGCTGCTGGCCTTCCTATCAACAAGCAACGTTGTATTTCCACGTTATATTCGCCCACCTGTGTTCAACCGTCCTATCTACGTGGGTCTTCCAACCCTCTATTAACCTATATCTAAGTACATTTTGTTTTAAATTGCCTGGTATAAGGGTTTCAGAGTTCTCATTTCTACCACTGCTATTCTTTGTTGTCTGTGTCATTCGATGTCTATGTGTCACTGTTTTAAATTAAAAAAGAGTTACTCATATTCCTTACAAACTGTATTGCAGGACAGATATTTGGGGACATACCAGGATAACAGCTTGTACATTTGCAGACAATGGTGATGATGATGATGATGAAATAGATTCACATATGTGCACCCGAACACACCATTTTATCGAACTGTCTCAAAATCGTTACATTGACTTTGCCTTGTGTTTTATAAGTTCCAATATATGTACGTGGTGTGTTCAAAAAGTATCGAGCCTTCTTCTTTCCCGCGTAAACCAATGAAGCGCGGGAGGCTCCCTTCGGTGGAGATGTGGAGGGGACATTCATGCACAGTCGTGAATTTTTTCCCGCCCGTAGAAAGCGTCAGTCGCTGGCAGTCGGCCTATGAGTGAGGACGTGTAGTGAGGGCTCGTCGGATTCCAGTAAGGGGTAAAATGACGGAACAACATGAGCAGCGATATTGCATGAAATTTTGCCAAAAGTTTAGCGATACCCAAGTGGAAACCATTCGCAAGATTCAACAGGCTTTCGGGGATGGTGCCATGAGCAACTCACGGATAAAGGATTGGTACAACTGCTTCAAAGATGGCCGCACATCAGTGGACAGCGAACCGCGTTCAGGCAGACCCTCAACAAGCCGAAATGAGAATGTCATTGAGCAAATGCGGACTTTGGTCATGGAGGACCGTCGTATCATAGTCCGAGAACTTGCGAACGAGATAGGGGTAAGCATTGGATCGGTACATTCAATTTTGACCGAGGATTTGGGCACGAGGGGAGTGTCCACGAAATTCGTACCGAAACTGCGCATCTGATTCAGATTTTCGTCGCCAAACACAACATCCCTGTGGTTCGTCAGGCTCCCTACTCCCCCGACATGGCTCCGTGTGACTTTTGGCTATTTCCCAAGCTGAAAAATGCCGCTGAAAGGACCCCGATTTGAGTCAAGAGAAGACATGTGGAATGCGACGACCCGGCTGATCACCATTCCAAAAGACGCGTTCCAGAAGTGTTTCCAACAATGGCGGAAGCGCTGGGAGAAGTGTGTGCATTACCAAGGAGACTACTTTGAAGGGTATTAGGGTTTTGTACCTTCAAATCAATAAATGTATTTCTGCCGACCAAAGGTTCGATACTTTTTGAACACTACGTATGTAGTATGTCTAGATGTTATTTTACTGAATTCTTTTGTAAATTATTCCACCTAATTTTATAATTGTTTGCCATTTAGCTTTCAAACATAACTCACAATCTGAACTTATAACAAAATCAATTATTCGCCAGTCTAGGAAATGTTACTGCGCAGTTGCAGAAGAACAAGTCATGACAGTGTAACCAATTCGTCAGTCTAGGAAATGTTACTGCCCAATTGCAGAAGAACAAGTCATGACAGAGTAACCCATTCGCCAGTCTAGGAAATGTTACTGCCCAATTGCAGAAGAACAAGTCATGACAGAGTAACCCATTCGCCAGTCTAGGAAATGTTACTGCCCAATTGCAGAAGAACAAGTCATGACAGTGTAACCCATTACATCTGGCAATGTGGAAACTCACTTCCACATTAAAGTGTAGTCTTTTATATTTATGTCCCTGATAGAATTTTTAATGAACAGATGGCAGCTTGTAGTCAAGGAAGGCTATCGGCTCCGAACCCACTAACCCTTATCAACCACATAATCGCTTAATTAACTGATTAATAACGAGTTAATCTGACATGTTTAATAATTGATAAGGTAACACGATAACCTTGAAACTGGACGATTTTTTGCTTAATCATCACAGTATATATTAATTTGTAACCAGCCACAAATAGAGTGAAATGAATTGCTTTGAGGAAGGTGTCACATCCTTGTCAATCTGTATAAGTGACGTCACACTGAAAATAATTTAAAAGTATAGTACACTGCAATAAAAATGCACCAATTGAAGCCTCAGGCTGGCTGTTAAATTTCTACTGGCCCTCACCGGCACAGTGATTATTGTCAGATTCATACAAATAGTGTTTATAAACTCAGTTCCTGCCGTACAGAAAACACACTGCATCTCCATTAGAAAGATTAGTCCTTTAATGCTGCTAGGAAATACTCAGTTTTTGCCTTTGAATGCATAAATATGCCCTGTGTGATAAATACGGTGATTTTGAATGTTACACATACTAACGGGTGTAGTTTAAATTGTTTCACAGTACCAGTAAGCATGATATATTAATATTTCTGTTCAGGATACTTTCGTTTTGATTAACTTCTGGAGCCTGTTACACGATCGTGAACACTGGGGAGATCCCGAAGTGTTCAGACCTGAGCGGTTCCTGGATGAGAACAAAACCTTTGTTAAGGACGAGTGGATGATTTCTTTTGGAGCTGGGAAGCGGATGTGCCTGGGAGAAGCCCTGGCACGCAATACTGTGTTCCTGTTCTTCACGACACTTCTCCAGGAGTTCTCGTTTAGTGTACCTGAAGATGAATCCACACCTCAGACTTTGCCTCTTTCCGGAATGATAATGGCCCCTCAGCCGTTCAGCATAAAGATTTCCCGGAGAGTATAGTATCGTGTCACTATCATTTTTGTTCGGTGTGTCTGAGGGAGTTAGGATTTCATACATGTCTTATCTCTTCTAGAATTAATGGTGGCCTTCAACTGTAAAAAATAAAGATATGCAAGGGAATGCAGCACCCGTCTCCCAGAGTGAGGGAAGTGAAGGGAAAGTAGCAGTTCGCGGTCCTGAACTTCGGACCTCTCTTCGCTGTGTGTGAGAGCGCAGCAAAGAGTTCATGTTTCTGTGTACTCACAGAGGACGCGTCACTCTCGGAGTCTGCGAGATTACATTAATCGTCGATCTCGACGTACCATTCGATAAGACGTACATCTCTCACACCTACAAATATAAATGGACTGTGAGCGGTATTTAAATAAACGATTATAAAGTAAAGGGGAGAGGTAGGGAGGGAGGACGGAAGAAAGGAAGAAGAAGGAATGGAAATGGGACAAACACATGAAAGGGATGGAACGAGAATACGGTAGAAATGTTTGAAGATGATAAGCGTATAAAGGATATTGTCACTTACGTAGAGTTAGCGTGACGGATAATAATTGGTTCTAGATTTGATGATTGGGTTTATCGAGCACTTCTTTACAATTACGATCAATTATAGCTCTATCAATAATCTGGATGAAAAGGAAAACCCTTCTGATGGAAAATGTCTGTGCTCCAATAAAATAAATAAGCCTAAAATTACGTTTAATGGACGTAAATAATTTGAAGCGAAAGTGGATATGGGTATTAATTCGATTGTAGACATTTATTTGAGAACGAATATGCTTAAGTTCCACAAAATATATTGTAGCAGTCCAAATTAGGGGAGCCTTTAATCAGTTTAGTACGATTAGATTATTTGAAATTAATTACTTTTGGCTCACAATTCTTTCTTTCTTTCTTTTGTGGGAGAGTTAGTCGCTTTCTTGGTTTCAGGAGTTTCAGGCTAAGTTTGAAGCCAGCTGCACGGCAATAAATCAGTCAAAATTCTGAACTTTGATTTGTGCAGAAGTCGTGTTTATTGCGGAGTCTTTCTGGACCTACGCAACATAAAATTTTAATTGACATATGTATCAGGTGGCTGAGTTCACCCCTAAGGCCCTACCCACTTGGGTTTTCTCTGGTTGCAAAATGCATGTTGATCAGCCTCCTAACTTGCCCTCTCCAACATTCAGAATCTAGAGAGGTAAGTCTTTCGCCAGATATTTCTAAAGCCAAGTCAGATGATTATCTTCAGAAAAGCTAGCTGCAGAACTGAAAATTCACTCACCAGAGACACGCTCTAGGCTTGTCTCCGAACAAGTCCTTCTTGAGAAGCCGCCAATTGTGCAGCTACTCAAGAACTTCCCAGCATTTTATGGAAACCCAAGGTTCATTACCGTGTACACAAGAGCCCTCCACTGGTCCCTATCCTGAGTCATATCGATGCAGTCCATACCATCCCACCCCATTATTCTAAGATCCATTTTAATATTGTCCACAAACCTACGTCTTGTTTCTCCTAGTGGTCTCTTTCCTTCTGCCTTTCCCACCAATATCCTATATGCATTCGTCTCACCCATTTTTGCTACATGCCCTGCCCACCTCATCCTCCTTGACTTGATCATTCTAATAATACTTGGAGAAGAGTACAAGTTATGAAGCTCCTCATTATGCATTTCTCTCCACCCTCCTGTCACTTCATCTCTCTTCCGTCGAAATATTCTCCTCAACAGCCTGTTCTCAAACACCCTCAGTCTATGTTCCTCCCTCAATGTCAGAGACCAAGTTTCACACCCATACAGAACCACAGACATTTGAAGATTTACGCCATAGTTTTTACGAAGATAAAGTGTTTACGTTCGTCCGTTCTAAAGACTGCATCAGAGAGATTTGGTCTCTGTAGCGCCATGACGCTACAAGATTTCAGAGCGCTTCTCTCCCACAAAAGTTGTCTCCATAATTGTATCTGATTGGCTTCAATTTAAGATTGAGGTGGTCCTTAATTTTTGTACTGACCAATCAGTTACTTGTTAAGATATGTAAATGATACAGATTATACTGAAAGGCTCTACTAATCAACAAAGAATATTAATTATTCTTAAAATTTAATTAAACTATGAAGTAATTAATTAAAATATACATCTGGTATANACACGGTCAAGTTCTTCTACCCTGAAGATGGGGGTGATACGTTCCTCCGAAACGTCGGTTAACACCACATATACACGGTGCCAAATCCCAGAAGACTGCTTTCTTCATAGTCACCGCCGTGAAAGCCTCAAATCTTACACTATGTTTGAACGTTCATATTGCATATGTAAAATAAATATTTACAAATGTATAGAGTATGTATGGTGTAACACATTTTTATATACAACTGAGTATTTATGTTTACGTTAAATTTAGCCTCCTTTATAGACGGGTTATAGACGTTGCCATGAATAATGGGAAGAATTATTGAACTTCAAAAGGGGTGACGGTTCATAATTTGCAGTGCCTCTTCTGTTCTCAATACATTACAACACTCGTACAGCACGTTTTCCTCCGTACACGGAAGGTCGCGATGAGCGCTAGAGTCTCATGTCAAAGTCACGTGGAGCGCTAGTAGTCGAATGTGAAAATACAACTGCCGTGTTGTGACGTATGTGATATATCCGTGGAAGCAAGTTCATGGTGGTACTGAATGTTGACGCGGAAGTGCGTAGTGTACAGAAATTGCAGCTCTACTCAATCATCCGTCATACCTTCAGGTTTCTTCGTACTGTAAGTCACATATTCATTTCGTAGCAACATCGAAATTAAGTGTATCATGCAGACAGGGAATGGTGTTTGTTCCTTCTTTAACTCGCTTGACAAGCAGGTTCAGGAGAACGTGGCATAAGGATTGAAATCGAATGACGCAGACATAACCTAGCGAGAACGATATTAAGGCATCATGGCACCATGGAACTTGGAATAAATGAAATCCCGTCGATAATGGAGCTCTTTCTTCGGGAGATCATGAAGAGAGAGAGAAAAAAAAATTGTAGCGCCTTTTATTTTTCTAAAATCGTATTTACCCATACTGTCACGCTCGCCTGAAGACTCAAGGTCGAAACATAACAACAACAAACCGTCAGATAAGAAATGTTCCGTTTGCCGGTCCGCATTAATTGTTTACTGGTAAGCTTACCGGGTGAAAAGTAAAGCACTGTAACATGACGTGTAACAAACAGATATTGTTTAATGTGGAAACAAGAATTAAATGGAAATAAGTTTGCTGGAACATCACTGTTTCCTTTTCGTAAAAATTTGTTTCTTATCGCCCTTCTTGAAAATTGTCTGAGGAGGGATGTATAAATTAAAATTGGGTAGGAATTCAACTTGATCATCCACACCAATGTGCAGAGTGTGGGGTATTGTAGGGGACTGCTACAAAAGAAAGAAAATAAAGGAAGGAAAGAAAATGAAGTAAGAGATATTGCTCAATAAAACTGCATGGGTCTCAGATGGTATTTCATTTGGGCCATAAACAGGAATGTATAAATGCATGATGGACTACGGACAATATTTTAACTAGCCGTAGCGTGCCTATATTAAACGTAAACCTGTCTGAAACGGAAAATGTTTACAGTTTTTTGGGGGATGGGGGGTTGATTCCGATATGAACAAATATAAATGTATTCATTTATCTTCTTTGTGGGAAGAGGGGTGGTTCCTGTACTCTGTCGCATATATCGCTTAACATACAGAGTGTCCAGATGAAAGGTATCCAAAATGAGGTAATTATATCTCAGAAAGAATTTATTATATACATTTATGGGTTACACCATTACAAAGGAAAACTATCAAAGTTTTTCTGAGTGTAAAACTTCCTCAGTTAATTTCAGTGAGGGCTTCTTTGGTCGCAGGACAAATATCCAGACGATATTCGACCTCATTCCACGTTGCTTGAAGCATGTTTGGTGTTAACCGTAGCCACAAAGTCCCTTATGCGGGCTTTCAGGTGTTCAAGGTTGTTGGTCTTAACCTGGTAGACAATGTTCTTCGCATAACCCCACAAGAAAAATCCACTGGGGTTAAATCTGACGATCTAGGAGGCCAAGCTATTGGTCTACCTCTGCCAATCCATCTCCCAGCCATCTCTCTGTCCAGTTGATTCCTAACATGGTGGCAAAAATGTGGCGGCGTACGCGCGTAAGCCGGGTATGGGGGTGGGGGAAACTTCAAGAGTTTTCTTATGGTATGACATAAATCAGATACGTGTATGATTGTTTCCGAGGTATACCTTTTTTATTTTGGATACCTTTCATCCGGACATTCTACTGTTAATTTACATCCACTGTTAATGGCGCATTGGTTATTTTTTTTTTTAAAGACGGAGGCACAGCGTGGCGTTGCGTCAGGATAGGAAGTAATGGCTATATTTAACACGGCATCCCGACAGGCCTCACGTATATGCATGAAGTGAAATACCGATACGCTGTTCAGTTATGGTGTGACTCCTGTCCCTAGAAGTGGGTGTAGCGAAGCCATTAAGTGACTTCATATCTGTTTCTGAGAAGGCCAAGGTCACCGTCTTTGCAGGTCAAATGAGCATGAAAGTTACGCAATGGAGAAATTCATACTTTACTTTCACTTATCGCCAGCGACAGCAAAAAGTTAGCGTTCATTTCATCAGGAAATTAAATACAATCATGTTCAGGATATTCTCGCTACATTTACATCGCCATGTTCTGTATTCCAGTCTGCTATATAGGTTCGTAATAGAAAATAACTGGCCAGTCACAGTAGTTGCGCGATCTAAGGCAGGAACTGTCTTCGCTCGCTCCGATGCTGGGATCGTGGGTTCGAATCCCACTCAAAACATGGATGTGTGGTGTGTATATGCGTTTATTCTGTATTTAGGTAGAGGCCTTGCGACGGGCTGATCACCCGTCCAAGGAGTCCTGCCGTCTGTGAAAAATGATTACGGAACTGAATAAGAGGCAAGGGCCCTGAATGGGCTGGAAGAGCCATTAAAAAAAAAATACAAAATAACTACAGGTTTTATCATTTGTTCTTATAGATGCGAAACTTGCTCTCTTGCATTAGAGCAAACGTATAAATTGAGGATGTTTGAGAACATTCGCAGAGGATATGCGGACCTGTGAGGGAGGAAATAACAGATTGCAGAAAATTGGACAGCTTGGATTTTCGTGATTTGCTCTTCATGAAACAGGCCTATTATATTAAGAAAATTAAATCAAGGAGCGTGAAAGATGAATCATGTAACATGCAGAAATAATGCACACAAAATATTAGTCGGACCCTCTAAAAGGAAAAGACCACTAGATGATTCGGGCGTAGATGTTAGGAAAATGTTGAACTTTTTCTTTGTAATCGGCGGGCTTCTGTGAACCTGGGACTTTTTTTGAGTAGCTGAGCGATTAGTAGTTTCTCCAAAAAGGAGTCCGTCCACCGAATCAGTTATTATTAAGAAGACAGGCCTGACGCGTCCCACGCAAGAGGGAAACGACAAGTACATAAATTTTCATCGAGAAATCTACAGAGAAGGGGTCATTTGGGTGACTTCGCCATGGGTGGGAAACTAATGCTACAACGGAGAAGTGAAATAGAGCTTGAAGGTATGGCTGGAATCAGACGACTCACGCTGGGGTCCAGTGGCGGGCTTTTGGAAAGACAATGATAAAAAGATTCCTGCCATCAGCTATGTGTAGCTTTGTTTCGGTGGTACCTGTCTACCAAATTACACGATGGGATATCCCAGAACACAGCAACCTTTATAGTCACCGCCGAGAAAACCTCATATCAAACAGTTATAAAAATATAAGTTCCATAAAGACTGCATATTTTCAGAGTATCCTGCATGTACTTTGTGGGGAAGGTTAACTGCATTTCCGATTCGAATAATTAAGGATAACATAAGCACGAGGGAGAGTCAGTAAGTAGCTAACAAACAGATATATAACGTAAAACATAACGCTATTCGAACCTGGAAAAAAACATTTATTTCTTGACATATCCTTAACCGAAATTTGTCCGTTTTCTTTATTGTTTGCATCCTGTTGTTTAAACCAATACTATTGTATTAATACTCGTTTGTTATGTACATTTGCTACATGTTTCGATCAAACTGGATCATCTTCAGGAAATTTTCATGAAATGGACTACCCATTATTGAATTGTCTGTCTAATGTGGATCCATATTAGCGGTCGTTAATATACATGTCGTTGTGATTCCTATGTTTCGTTATATTTGAATATTAGTATTATATGAATTCATAGAAACAAAAAAAAATAATTTCTAACCTCTAACTGAGTTATAACATTTTGAAACTTAAGACTAATATTCAAATATAACGAAACACAGGAATCGTAAGGAAATTTATATTAACGATCACTAATATGGGCCCCATTAGACACAGAATGCAATAACGAGTACTACATTTCATGAAAATTTCCTGATAGAGATCCAAATGGATCGAAACATGAAGCAAATATACATAACGAACGAATATTAATACAGTACTAATGGTTCATTTATTACGAATTTGTTATGTTGACGATTGTATAATAATATTACGTGATCCACTTGTCCCATCACTTTGCTAGTGCGTCGAAACCCGCACCATAGTCTTTTGATTGTTGTCTC